GGGAAAGCAGCAGTTGATGTTGGGCGGGCGGAAGGAGCGGAGGGTGCTCTGCAGGTGGGGGGAGCGGTGGGCGAAGCTGGGCAGGGGGTAGGAGCGGAGCGGAGGGTTGGGGCGGAACTAACACGGTGGAATGGGGAGGGCGACATGCGAGGGGGTAGGGGTAGGTGAAAGGGGGGGGAATGATGATGGTAGGAGCGTGATGATGGTGGTGGGGGGGCATGGTGGGGTCGCCATGGGGGATGGAGTGGGAAAAGATTTGATGGGGATTGGTGGGTTGGGGGACTGTGGGTTAGAGGAAGGAAAGGGGGGTGCGAGAGCGTTAGATTTAGGGGATATGGATGGGAAGGAATGTGGGGAGGAGGTCGAGGAGGAGTGTGAGGTGGTGTATGTGGGAGATTTCATGAGAGTGTGCGGAGGGGAAAGAGGGGAGGAGGAGGAGGAGGAGGAGGAGGGGGGAGAGGGGGAGAAGGAAGGGGAGGACGAGGCGGAGGAGGAATATGAGGAAGTGAATGGAGAGAAGAGACAGAGGGAGGAGGGAAGTGCAAAAGAGAAGGAGGGGGAGGATGAGGGGCAATGGGAGAAGCAGTATGCATGCGATGAGTGAAGGAGAAGCAGTATGCATGTGATGAGTGAAGGAGAAGCACTATGCATGTGATGAGTGAAGGAGAAGCACAATGCATGTGATGAGTGAAGGAGAAACACTATGCATGTGATGAGTGAAAGAGAAGCACTATGCATGTGACGAGTGAAGGAGAAGCAGTATGCATGTGATGAGTGAAGGAGAGGCACTATGCAGGTGATGAGTGAAGGAGAAGCACTATGCATGTGATGAGAGAAGGAGAAGCACTATGCATGTGATGAGTGAAGGAGAAGCACTATGCATGTGACGAGTGAAGGAGAAGCACTATGCATGTGACGAGTGAAGGAGAAGCACTATGCATGTGACGAGTGAAGGAGAAGCACTATGCATGTGACGAGTGAAGGAGAAGCACTATGCATGTGACGAATGAAGGAGAAGCACTATGCATGTGATGAGTGAAGGAGAAGCACTATGCATGTGATGAGTGAAGGAGAAGCACTATGCATGTGATGAGAGAAGGAGAAGCACTATGCATGTGATGAGTGAAGGAGAAGCACTGTGCATGTGATGAGTGAAGGAGAAGCACTACGCATGTGATGGAGAAGCTCTATCCATGTGATGAGTGAAGGAAAAGCACTATGCATGTGATGAGTGAAGGAGAAGCACTATGAATGTGAGGAGTGAAGGAGAAGCACTATGCATGTGACAAGTGAAGGAGAAGCACTGTGCATGTGACGAGTGAAGGAGAAGCACTATGCATGTGATGAGTGAAGGAGAAGCACTATGCATGTGATGAGTGAAGGAGGAGCACTATGCATGTGATGAGTGAAGGAGAAGCACTATGCTTGTGATGAGTGAAGGAGAAGCAGTATGCATGTGATGAGTGAAGGAGAAGCACTATGCATGTGACGAGTGAAGGAGAAGCACTATGCCTGTGATGAGTGAAGGAGAAGCACTATGCATGTGATGAGTGAAGGAGAAGCACTATGCATGTGACGAGTGAAGGAGAAGCACTATGCTTGTGATGAGTGAAGGAGAAGCACTATGCATATGATGAGTGAAGGAGGAGCACTATGCATGTGATGAGTGAAGGAGCACTATGCATGTGATGAGTGAAGGAGAAACACTATGCATGTGATGAGTGAAAGAGAAGCACTATGCGTGTGATGAGTGAAGGAGAAGCAGTATGCATGTGATGAGTGTGGGCAGGAGTTTGCACGGAGGGCGCTTCTCAAGAAACACATGGCCTGCCTTTCAAAAAGGGTGTGTTGCCGCCGCTCACGCACTCCCACTTACTACCACCACGCCTTTCACCTCTCCGTTTTTTAGGCTCCTCAAAACTGACTCGCTATCACCACGTGTTCCCCTCTCCTTCCCTCCCGCCCTTTCCCTCTCTTCTCCTCTCCCCCACCTGTGCACCCGTGCGTCTATCCCCCTTGCCTTTCTAGCATTGGTTTCCCCCGTTTGGCTCCTGGGGATACGGTCCATACCGTCATTTTCTCCTACGTTTCATACCGTCATCTTCTTTTGAGTCGACTCAAAAGCATTTCGTCTTCTCCTACGGTCCATACTGTCATCTTCTCCTTCTGTCGTCTTTCTCTATGTTCCCTTGCTGTGTCACTCCTTGCGGCATGCCAAGAGTGCTCTCAGATGCCAAGAGTGCTCTCAGATGCCAGGAGTGCTCTCAGAACGCCTCTCAATGCCCCTCGACCGTGCCTTCCCCCTTTGATCAGCACCCCTGCCCCAATTTGCTTTGTCACAAAACGCTCAAGTACCGGCACGGCACCCCGGGATTGAAGTAAGGCTCTTCCTCCCCCCCTCCTCCCCTTCCACCCCTTTTGCTTCATTCTCCAGTACCCGTGCCCCTATTCCCAATGTCACAAGTCGTTCAAGTACCGGCACGGCATGCTGCGGCATGTGAGGGAAGACCATGGGGGGGAGGAGGGGGAGGAGGGGGAGGAGGGGGAGGAGGGGGGGGAGGGAGAGGAGGGAGAGGAGGGAGAGGAGGGAGAGGAGGGAGATGAAAACAGGCCGAAAGGGGTGAGTGGGGAAAAGAAGGGAATGGAGCGAATGCAGGTGCAGGAATGGACTCGTTCGCTGCTGACCACTCTATGCTTTCCCTTTCCTCTCCCCGTTTCTTTGCCCCTTCTCCTTCCTCCCGTTCTCCCCTCCGCTTCCCCTCCTCCCGCTTCCCTTCCACCTTTCGGCAAATTCCCAGAATTCAAAACCCCCCTTATTCCTGTAATATCAACCGCCTCTTTCACCCTCCCCACCCCACCCCCCCTGCCCTCTCCTCTCTACCCTGCTCATTCCTAGCAAGCAGGGGGCATTTGTGTGCCCACACCCCGACTGCCAGAAGGTACTCAAGTCAAAGGACAGTCTTAGAAAGCACATGCGCTCGCACGATCCGAGTGCTCCCCAAGTCAGCTCCCTCCGTGAGTTATGAGTCTTTTGAGCCGACTTAAAAATATACTCACAGCACACGCACAACCCCAGTGCTCCCCAGGTCAGCTCCCTCCCCCTCTTCCCGCTTCCCTACAATCCTCCTCTTTGCCGTCTTCCCATCTCCCCCCTCCCGCCTTCCTCCCCTCCCGCTCCCGCCATTCGGTTTCTCGCCGATGCACCATTTTCACGGGTGTACTCGTGCTTCTCTGTTTGAGGCGCCTCAAAGAAACGAGCGTATCCCCTGCTTCGCATACGGTGGAGTCATTTTCTAGAATTCTCAAAGACGAGCGTACCCCCTTCCCCCCCCCCCCCCGGCGCACATGCGTTCATCCCCAGTGCTCTAAGCTGTTCAAGTACCGACACGACATGCTGCGGCATGAGCAGATGTTGTGACGAGCTTCTCATGCGAACCCTCCGATGCTCTGTGCCCCCCCCACCCCCCCCCCCCCCCGCAGCACACATGCGTTCATCCCCAGTGCTCTAAGGCGTTCAAGTACCGACACGACATGCTGCGGCATGTGAGGGGGGGGGGGAGGAGGGCAGTGGGGGTATGCTGGCTCGAGAGGGTTTGGGCACGGAGGGTATGGGAGCAGAGGAATGGGGGGTATGCTGACCGGAGTGGGCTTGGGCACGCAACTAGCTCAACTTTATCTCACCCGTTATGGCGAAGAGAAGGGGGAGCAGGGAACAGTTTTGAGGTGCCTCAAAACTAAAGAAGAAAGAGCAGGGAGCACGTTGGGGAACGGAGGGAGCCGGTGATGAAGCGCAGGTGGGAACGCAGGTGGGAACGCAGGTGGGAACGCAGGTGATGAGCAGGTGGAAACGCAGGTGACGAAATCGGGGGCGGTACTCGGTGTTGGGAGGAGGAGGAGGAGGTTGGGGATGGGGTGGGGAAGGAGGGAGGGGTGAGGGAAGAAGGGGAGGTGGTGGGGGATGGAGGGTTGGGGAAAGATGGGGGGATGGGAGAGGATAGGAGGATGGAGGAAGGCAGGGGGAAAAAGGGGGCTTGTGGGAAGCGGGGGCGGGGTGGAGTTGATGCAGCAGACGCTGGCTCAGGGAAGAGGAGGCACGTGAAAGGCAACCTGAAGAAATACCTGAGCATAAGCTTCAAGCGCCTTGCAGGGGTAAGAAGCCGCCGGAACAAGCGGAAAAGGCACCTGAAGGCAACAGAGGAGAAGCACCTGAGGCGGAACGAGATGCTCCCGAGGGAGGAAGAGACGCACCTGAAACAGCATGAGGATCACCTGAAACAACAGAAGGAGCTCCTGACACAGCAGGAACAGCAGCTGAGGCTTCAGGCGAAGCACCTGAAGCAACAGAACGAGCACCTGAACGAGTGGAAGAACCACCTGAGGCGTCAGAAGCAGCATCTGCAGCGCTTGGGCATGCTGAGGCGCTGATGTGGCCAGCAGAGCAGAAGCCGAAGCATTCCCGAGGACAGCAGAAATCCACCAGTCCTGGTGGCTTTGAAGAGTGAGGGACTGGGGTGTTGGTGGATGAAGAGGGGTGGGGTCAGTAGGAAGGCAGGCTGCAGGCACGCATGACAAGGATCAGAATATCTTAAGGGGGAGAAGTGGCGACATTTTACACACATCTTACCAGGTATATGTCTTATGTTTGCATGCTGGCTAGGATTGTGAATGCTTGCTGGCTGGTGTTGTGCATAAGATCCAAGCAGCCTTTGTTCTGTTACATCCACGTGTTGAAGGATGCAGCCTGCCTGCAATTCATGACGAGGGCAATTGAGTTGAAGAACCAGCAAAGACATAACTCAAGTGTGGAGGCAACTAGTATTGAATATGATTCCTTACAATCAGCCAGACTCACCATTATCGAGGATTCTATTTTTTAGGCACCTCAAAAATAGTCACCATTATCGAGGATGCACAAGCGCCAAATTGTCCGCCGGAATGTGGCATGGCAATCATCCCCCTACCGAACAGCACAGGCGCCAAATCCGTACTTGTACACGTGTCCCCCCATTCTTCCCGCTAGCACACCAGTACCTTCACATTCTCTGCCCCTTGCCACACAGGCGGCACCCCCGGACCAGGTCTAGGCAGCGCACAGATACACAGCGCGGGCGGAAATAGCGCGAGGAAATAGCGCGCGGAGAGTGCGGGGGGGCGGTTCCGTTGCGAACTGCCCCATCGGTCACACTTAATCGCTGAAAATTAAGCGTCTAGGGTGCGAGAGAGCGGGGATGAACACGCGGGATTAGGCGCGGGATTCGACGCGGGTGGATACATAGGGGCCGCCGCACTGCCCCATCGGTCACAGTTATATCGCCGTTTACGTCTAGGGTGCGAGAGATCGGGGATGAATGCGCGGGATTCGAGGCTCCCTGTAACGGGTATTGCCGTCATTCTGGGCCTTGCGGATTTACCGGTTAGCGCGCCTCTGCGGTGCTACACTCGGCGCGCAGCACGCGATGTGGCGCAGCGGAACGACGCTGCGGAACCTCCGCCTCCTGGGGCGCAGCGAAACGACGCGGAAGCTTTTCCCCGTCTGGCGCAGCGGAATGACTCCGCGGAACTTCCCCCTCGGGTGCAGCGGAAGGAAGCGGGACCTCCACTTGAAGCGGGCGCGGAAGGTGGTCCGGGGAGTAAGGGAGCGGCGGTTGAATCTGAGGAGGGGAGGGATGGGGGGGAAGTGGAGGGTTGGAAGGGGGAGAGGGGCAGGGAGAGGGGCATAGGAATGCGGAAAGAGGAAGAGGGGAGAGGCCGGGAGGAGCGAGAGGAGGGGAGGGATGGTGGGGCAGTGGAGGGATGGAAGGGGGAGGGCGGCAGGGAGGGGTTCGGGGGCGGTGGGATGGAGAAAGGAGAAATGGGGGATGATGATGGCGGCATGGGGAATGGGGTGGGACATGGGGTGGGGGGTGGTGGGATGGGGGATTTCGGGTTAGGGGGAGGAAGGGGAAGTGCAAGAGGAAGGGGAAGTGCAAGAGGAAGGGGAGGTGCAAGAGGAAGGGGAAGTGCAAGAGGAAGGGGAAGTGCAAGAGGAAGGGGAAGTGCAAGAGGAAGGGGAAGTGCAAGAGGAAGGGGAAGTGCAAGAGGGTTGCACAAAGAGGGCGAAGAGAAGGAGGAGGCGGTGGAGGTGGAAGAGGTAGGGCAAGATGGGGATGGGGAGGAGAGTGAGGTGGAGTGGGTGGGGGAGTGTGTGAGGGAGTGTGAGGAGGACGAGGATGATGCTGATGATGACGTGCAGGAAGTGCCAACGGGGGAAACCAGAGAGTGTGAGGGTAAAATTCGTTATGGTATGGGGCGTGATACTTATAAATTAGACGGTGGGAGTGAGAAGGAGAAGGAGAAGACTGCAGGAAAGGCAGGGGAGGAAAGAGTGAGAGAGAGGGGGGTGGAAAGGGTGAAGAAGGAGAGGGAGGAGGGGAAGGCACAGGAGAAGGAGAAGGAGAAGGAGAAGGAGAAGGGAAGGGAGATGGAGAGAGAGGAGGGGAAGGGGAAGGGGGAGGAGAAGGAGAAGGGGAAGGGGAAGGAGAGGGAAGAGGAGGGCCACGAGAAGCGCTATGGTTGTGAGGAGAGTGGGAAGGCGTTCACTCGGCCAAGCTACTTAAAGCAGCACTCGGCTCGGCGTATCCATTTCCAGCAGGTGGGTCGCTGCTCACACACTCACTCACTCCTCTCTCACTCGCTCCCTCCCTCACTTATTCACTCCCTCTCTCACTCACTCTCCCCCTCTCTCACTCAGTCACTACCGTCAGAGCACCTGCTCTCCACCCAATGCTATTCTCCACCCAATGCTGCTCTCCACCCAATGCTGCTCTCCACCCATTGCTCCTCTCCACCCAATGCTCCTCTCTCCTTCTCTCCTCACCTATGTGTCTCACTTACTTCCCCACCCTCCTTCCTCTCTCACCAGGGCCTTGCTTCATCTCTTCGCCTCTCTGTCTTTCCTTTCCCTCAGTTTTCTTTCCCCTCTTTCTCCCCCCCTCCCAATCACCAGCACCTGTGTCCAAAACGTCCCAATCACCAGCACCTGTGTCCAAAACGTCCCAATCACCAGTGTCCTCGAATTCAATGCTCCAAAACGTTTATGCTTTTTTCCATGTTCAAGTCCTCTTCCCCCCCCCCCCTCCCCCCCCCCCCCCAACCCAATCACCAGCACCCATGTCTGTAAAGCCAATGTTCCAAGAAGTTCAAATACCGCGACAGCATGCCGCGGCATGCAGCTATTGCTATGAGGCGGATTTCACATTGTGCCTCCAATGACTTGTACCTCCAATGACTTGTACCTCCAATGACTTGTGCCCATTAAACCCCCTCCCCCCTCCTTTCCTTCTCGTGTGCCCCCTCCCCCCTCCTTTCCTTCTCGTGTCCCCCCTCCCCCCTCCTTTCCTTCTCGTGTTCCCCCTCCCCCCTCCTTTCCTTCTCGTGTTCCCCCTCCCCCCTCCTTTCCTTCTCGTGTTCCCCCTCCCCCCTCCTTTCCTTCTTGTGTTCCCGCTCCCCCCTCCTTTCCTTCTCGTGTTCCCCCTCCCCCCTCCTTTCCTTCTCGTGTTCCCGCTCCCCACTATCACTCACCAGCACCCCGTGATAGAAGTCTAGTTTGGAGGCGCCTCAAAACTTTCCTTCTCGTGATCCCGTTTTGAGGCGCCTCAAAAATCATATTATGCCTCCAATGCCCTTCTCGCTCCCTCCCTTTTTGAGGCGCCTCAAAAATCATAGTATGCCTCCAATGCCCTTCTCGCTCCCTCCCTTTTTGAGGCGCCTCAAAAATCATATTATGCCTCCAATGCCCTTCTCGCTCCCTCCCTTTTTGAGGCGCCTCAAAAATCATATTATGCCTCCAATGCCCTTCTCGCTCCCTCCCTTTTTGAGGCGCCTCAAAAATCATATTATGCCTCCAATGCCCTTCTCGCTCCCTCCCTTTTTGAGGCGCCAAAAAAATCATATTATGCCTCCAATGCCCTTCTCGCTCCCTCCCTTTTTGAGGTGCCTCAAAAATCATATTATGCCTCCAATGCCCTTCTCGCTCCCTTTTTGAGGCGCCTCAAAAATCATATTATGCCTCCAATGCCCTTCTCGCTCCCTTCCTTTTTGAGGCGCCGCAATTTTTTTTTAGGCGCCTAAAAAATCATATTATGCCTCCAATGCCCTTCTCGCTCCCTCCCTTTTTGAGGCGCCTCAAAAATCATATTATGCCTCCAATGCCCTTCTCGCTCCCTCCCTTTTTGAGGCGCCTCAAAAATCATATTATGTCTCCAATGCCCTTCTCGCTCCCTCCCTTTTTGAGGCGCCTCAAAAATCATATTATGCCTCCAATGCCCTTCTCGCTCCCTCCCTTTTTGAGGCGCCAAAAAAATCATATTATGCCTCCAATGCCCTTCTCGCTCCCTCCCTTTTTGAGGTGCCTCAAAAATCATATTATGCCTCCAATGCCCTTCTCGCTCCCTTTTTGAGGCGCCTCAAAAATCATATTATGCCTCCAATGCCCTTCTCGCTCCCTTCCTTTTTGAGGCGCCGCAATTTTTTTTTAGGCGCCTAAAAAATCATATTATGCCTCCAATGCCCTTCTCGCTCCCTCCCTTTTTGAGGCGCCAAAAAAATCATATTATGCCTCCAATGCCCTTCTCGCTCCCTCCCTTTTTGAGGTGCCTCAAAAATCATATTATGCCTCCAATGCCCTTCTCGCTCCCTTTTTTAGGCGCCTAAAAAATCATATTATGCCTCCAATGCCCTTCTCGCTCCCTCCCTTTTTGAGGCGCCTCAAAAATCATATTATGCCTCCAATGCCCTTCTCGCTCCCTCCCTTTTTGAGGCGCCTCAAAAATCATATTATGTCTCCAATGCCCTTCTCGCTCCCTCCCTTTTTGAGGCGCCTCAAAAATCATATTATGCCTCCAATGCCCTTCTCGCTCCCTCCCTTTTTGAGGCGCCAAAAAAATCATATTATGCCTCCAATGCCCTTCTCGCTCCCTCCCTTTTTGAGGTGCCTCAAAAATCATATTATGCCTCCAATGCCCTTCTCGCTCCCTTTTTGAGGCGCCTCAAAAATCATATTATGCCTCCAATGCCCTTCTCGCTCCCTTCCTTTTTGAGGCGCCGCAATTTTTTTTTAGGCGCCTAAAAAATCTTATTATGCCTCCAATGCCCTTCTCGCTCCCTCCCTTTTTGAGGCGCCAAAAAAATCATATTATGCCTCCAATGCCCTTCTCGCTCCCTCCCTTTTTGAGGTGCCTCAAAAATCATATTATGCCTCCAATGCCCTTCTCGCTCCCTTTTTGAGGCGCCTCAAAAATCATATTATGCCTCCAATGCCCTTCTCGCTCCCTTCCTTTTTGAGGCGCCGCAATTTTTTTTTAGGCGCCTAAAAAATCATATTATGCCTCCAATGCCCTTCTCGCTCCCTCCCTCCTCTCAATCACCAGCACCCATGCCCGCGGCATCCCCAATGCTCCCAATCGTTCAAGTACCGCAAAGACATGCTGCGCCATGCAAAGAAGCAGCATTGGGGGGGGGAGGGCAGTGGGATGCCGCAGGGGGGGGAGGAGGGCGCTGGGGGAAAGCAGAGGGGGGAGGAGGAGGGCGCTGGGATGCAGCAGAGGGGGGAGGAGGAGGGCGCTGGGATGCAGCAGAGGGGGGAGGAGGGCGCTGGGGGAAAGCAGAGGGGGGAGGAGGAGGGCGCTGGGATGCAGCAGGGGGGGGAGGAGGGCGCTGGGGGAATGCAGAGGGGGGAGGAGGAGGGTGCAGGGATGCAGCAGGAGGAACAAGAGGGATGGACGGGGATGGGCGACAGAAGGAGGGTTTTGAGACGTCTAAAAACGAAATTACTATCCCAAGTACAAGACAGACCGACGGAAATGGGTGACAGGCAGAGGGAAGGGGACGGTGGGATTGGGATGGAGGGAGTACTGGTGGGAGGTATTTATGAAATTTCTCAAAAATACCCTGGGATTGGGATGGAGGGGGTACTGGTGGGAGCTGATGACGCTGTGATGGGGGGTGGGGTGGGGGATTGTGGGTTAGAGGGAGGAAGGGGGTGTGCAAAAGGTTCAGATATAGAGGAGGAAGAGGAGGAAGCAGAAAAGGAGGAAGAGGAGGAAGCAGAAAAGGAGGAAGAGGAGGAAGCAGAAAAGGAGGAAGCAGAAAAGGAGGAAGAGGTAAGGCAAAATGACGATGGGGAGGAGAGGGAGGTGGAGTGGGTGGGGGAGTATGTGAGAAAGTGTGTGGGCGAAGAGGATGATGATGTGCAAGAATGGCCGATAAGAGAGAGTGATGCTATGATGCTTGATACTAGTAAGTCAGCTGGTGGGAGCAGGAAGGAGAAGGAAGAAAATGCAGGGAAGGCTTGGGAGGACGATTATAAGGCGAGCGAGAGGAGGACAGTAAGGTTGAAGGAGAAGTGGACGAAAGAGGAGGAGGAGAGGGAGGAGGAGAGGAAGGAGGAGAGGGAGGAGGAGAGGGAGGAGGAGAGGGAGGAGGAGAGGGAGGAGGAGAGGGAGGAGGAGAGGGAGGGGGAGAGGGAGGAGGAGAGGGAGGAGGAGAGGGAGGAGGAGAGGGAGGAGGAGAGGGAGGAGGAGAGGGAGGAGGAGAGGGAGGGGGAGAGGGAGGAGGAGAGGGAGGAGGAGAGGGAGGCGGAGAGGGAACAGGAGAGGGAGGAGGAGAGGGAAGAGGAGAGGGAGGAGGAGAGGGAGGAGGAGAGGGAGGAGGAGAGGGAGGGGGAGAGGGAGGAGGAGAGGGAGGAGGAGAGGGAGGAGGAGAGGGAGGAGGAGAAGCAAGAGGAGAGGGAGGGGGAGAGGGAGGAGGAGAGGGAGGAGGAGAGGGAGGCGGAGAGGGAACAGGAGAGGGAGGAGGAGAGGGAAGAGGAGAGGGAGGAGGAGAGGGAGGAGGAGAGGGAGGAGGAGAGGGAGGAGGAGAAGCAAGAGGAGAGGGAGGAGGGGCGGCACGATGGGAAGAGAGGCTATGAGAAGGCGTTTGCTCGGCTGACATGCTGGAGGGAACTCAAAGCCATTCTTTCCAAGGAGGTCTGTAGTCACTCACTCACTCTCACTCACTAACTTACTCACTCACAGACTCACTCATACACTCACTCACCCACTCACTCACCCACTCACTCACTCGCTCACACACTCACTCACTCACGCACACACTCTCACACTCACTCACCACTCACTCCGATACTCACTCGCTCACTCCATTTAATGGTTCCCCTCGTAAGCAAGGCTTTCTCCCCATGCTTCCTGTAGCCTGCTTCCTGTAGCCTGCTTCCTGTAGCCTGCTTCCTGTAGCCTGCTTCAAAAGTCATACCATCAACTCTCACGCACAGTACCACGTGATCCCATTGCCCCACATCTCGTCCTTCCTCTGCCCCCTCTCGCACCTTTCCGGCTGTGCAAGTCACGCGTGAGCCAGCATCAAAGTAGCCCTCTCCCTATCCTTCCCCTCTCTGCTTCACCGCCATATTTTGCCTCTCTCCCCCCTCTCCCCCCTCTCCCCCCTCTCCCCCCTCTCCCCCTCTCCCCCCTCTCCCCCTCTCCCCCTCTGCCCCCTCTCCCCCCTCTCCTACCTCTCCCCCCTCTCTCCCCTCTCCCCCTCTCCCCCCTATTCTCTCTTCCACTGCAGAGGCCGTTCGTGTGTCCCCATGCAGATTTCCCCAGGGTGTACACAGCACAGGGTGTGCTCAATCTGCCCCCCTTTCCTTCCTTTTGAGGCGCCTCAAAAGTGCTCAATCTGCCCCCCTTTCCTTCCTTTTGAGGCGCCTCAAAAGTGCTCAATCTGCCCCCCTTTCCTTCCTTTTGAGGCGCCTCAAAAGTGCTCAATCTGCCCCCCTTTCCTTCCCCTCGTCTTTCTCCTCCCCTCACCCCACCCTTCCCCCCGCCCGCCCCGTTTTCACCCTTCCACTACCGCAGAGATCGTTCGCGTGTCCGCATGCAGACTGCCAAAAAGAATTCACATCCAATTGCCATCTCAAGAGGCACCTCCTTTTGCACGACCCCAATGCTCCGCGGGTGAGTTCCAACCGATTGCCGTCTGAAAAGCACCCCCTCGGCTGCACAAGCCGTGCATGTGTCCGCATGCACACTGCCAGAAGGCATTCACGACCAGCTCTCATCTGAAGAGGCACCTTCTTTTGCACGACCCCACTGCCCCGCTGGTGAGTTTCCTCACTTACCCCCCTTCCCCTTTCGACAAACCAGGGTGGCTTTCCCCCACCTTCCTCGTTCCTCCCCTTCCTATCCTAATCCTCTACATGCCATTTCGTCATCATCCAATGAAGATTAAATGGGTTCGTCCCGCAGCAAGCCACGGAGTAGTCTCTTAGATCGATACTAAGCTAGGCTGAGTAGCCTTCCTATCCTCGCCATACAGGCCATTTCGTCATCATCCACGTTTCTTCCGTCGCCTCCAACACGACCAACTTTCCTGGAGCCATGGTCTCTCTTCCCTAACCCTCCCCTCCTGGGGCCATGTTTCCTCTTCCCCCCCCCCCTCTCCCCCCCAAACACCCCCCAATCTCCCCCCCTAATCTCCCCCACACCCCCCCCAATCTCCCCCACAACAGCACCCATGTCCGCATCCGCGCTGCTCGAAGTCCTTCACGCGCCGAGATCAAGCGCTACAACACGCACGGAAGAAGCATCGGGGGGAGCAGGGCGCGAGGGGCGGGCTGAGCAGCGTGCATGGGGGCAAGAAGGGGAAGAGAGCGCATGGGAGGAAGGGAGGACGTGGGGGCAACGAGGAGGGCAGCGAGGAGGGCAGCGCTGCGAGGGAGGAAGAGGATGGCGAGACCCGTCTGCTCCCCCCAAGCGAGGGCAGTGCAGCCAAGCCACTGCTGCTCCAGCCTCAAGAGACCAGTAGCGAAGTTGCATACGGGGAGGGAAATGGGAGCACCAAGGACGCCAGTGCTGCGAGGGGAGAAGAGGGCGCTTCAACCCATCTGCCTCAAAGCTTGGAAGGCAGTTCTGTGAGCGAGGAAGAGAATGGAGGTCCCCATGTGCTCCCTCTAAGCGAGGAAGATAAGACTCGTGAGGAGCCTCGAAGCTTGGAAGGCAGTGCTGTGAAGGAGAGAGCAGCCCGTTCCCTCCCTTCAAGGGAGAGCGGCGTGGCAGCCAACGCTGCAAATGACACCACACCCCAGCCTCCAGGTCAGCCGATGAGCCCCCCCATGGGAGCCGATGCTGCAGATGATGGGGTCATCCACGCCCCCCACTCATGGGAAGGCAACGTGGCAGGCAGTGCTGCAGCGGATGATGGTGTCATCCGTCCACTTCCTTCAACACACGGCAGCGTGGCAGCCAATGCTGCGAGGGACGAATCGGCCCAACCTCGGAGGACGGGCCATATGGGAGCCGATTCTGCAGATTGGAGCCACGTGGTCATCCGTCCACTTCCTTCAAAGGCGGTCAACGTGGGAAAGCCAGCGCAGCGGCTTCAAGGGAAGGGCAGTGCGGCTGGAGAAGGGAGGGAGGAAGGGAGGGAGGAAGGGAGAGAGGAAGGGAGGGAGGAAGGGAGGGAGGAAGGGAGGGAGGAAGGGAGGGAGGAAGGGAGGGAGGAAGGGAGGGAGGAAGGGAGGGAGGAAGGGAGGGAGGAAGGGAGGGAGGAAGGGAGGGAGGGAGGGGGAGGCTCTGGGGGAAATGGGAGAGGGGATCAGCGTTGGGAGAAGGGGGAGGTTGGGTGCAGCATGGATGGGGCGAGCGGAGTGGGGAAGGTGGGGGTAGCCCCTCCTCTCCCTGCCTGGGAGGGCAGCGAGGCAAAGCCAGTGCACTGGCTTGTAGGGGAGGGCAGTGGGGTAAGAGAAGGGAGGGAGGACGCGGGACGCGCTGAAGGTAATGGGGCAGGAAACCAGTGTTGGGAGAAGGAGGAGGAGGAGGAGGAGGAGGAGGAGGAGGAGGCGTTGGGGTGCGACTTGGGTGGTGTGCGTAGAGTGAAGGAGGAGGAAGAAGCCCTTCCCCTCCCTCCCTGGTGTGGCACGGATGGTGTGAGAGCAGTGGGGAAGGAGGGGGAGATGGAAGATGATGGGGGGATGGGGGAAGTTGGGAAGCACAGTCAAGGGGAGGAAGGGAGTGCACAAGAGGAGGGGGATAGGAAAGCGAGAAGAGGAGGGGAGATGGGTAGGGAGGATATGGATGGAAGGAACGAGGGAGGTGTGCCAGTGGAAAAATCACCTCGTGGGGATAAGCGCATTCGAATTGGGGCTTTAAGGAGAGGGTTGTTGGCAAGGAGAGAGGGTGTAAGAAAGAGAAGGTGTTCTGGAGGTGAGGAGGGAAAAGCTGGTCTGAGGAAGAATCACCTAAAAAGTCACCTGAAGCAGCGTAAGAGATATCTGGGCACGAATGTGAAGCATCTTGTGGGGTTAAGAAGCTGCCAAAGCAAGCTGAGGAAACACCTGAAGGCAACTGAGAGGAAGCACCTGAGGCGGAAGGAGATGCTCTCGAAGGAGGAAGAGACACACCTGAGACAACGGGATGAACACCTGAAGCAACAGAGAGAGCACCTGAGACAGCAGGGCGATCACTTGCGGCAACAGCATGAGCAGTTAAAGGAGCAGGAGTTGCACCTGAGGCGGCAGGAGGAGCACCTGAAGCAACAGAGCGAGCACCTGGACGGGCAGGAAAACCACCTGAGGCTCAAGAAGCAGCACCTGAAGATGAAGCTGCAGCATGCTCGGCTTCGAAAGAACCGGCTGAATCGTTGTCCCGCTGATCCACGGGGTTCTGGAAGAAAGACCGTGGTGAAGGATGAGGAGAGAGGAGGGAGTGTGGCTCTGGGGGACAAGGGGAGAGAGAAAGGGATGACAGGAGGGCTAGATGCCTTGCAAAATGCAGCATTGCCAGGTGAAGCACGAATGTGGCCTGTGGTTAAGGAGGAAAGAGAGGAGGTGGTGTGATGTTGGGAGAAGAGAAGGGGCCAAGAAGCAAGGAGGGGCAGGGTGGTGGGGGGGATAGTGGGCAGGGGAAACTGAAGGGTTGGAAAGCAGCAGAGCTGTGTCGGAGGGTAAGGAAGAGGAGCTTCATGTCTGCTGGAGAAGAGATGAGAAAGCATAAGAGTTGCTGTGAAAGGGAGTTGGAGGAACGACCAAGCAAAGGTAGGAGTTCACCGCAAGCAACAGAGCGTTCCTCTAAGTCACCTCTCAAGTGTACAAAAAGACATGGATACAGAGCCGCAATAATAGCTTGTACATATTTCAAGGATATTTCAAATGCAACTGAACTAGGAGTAGTCTATTTGGGAGATGCATAGATGTATAGTTGTTTAAGTGCATGGTGCATCGAGAATACATGGTTTCGGGCATCAGGAGTGTAGGGCTGAGCAAGGAGGTAATTTTTATTGTTAACACACGAGCCCAAGCAAGATGGCAATAGAAACCAGAAATGACGTGCTTTTTTGCTACTTGTTTTGTACGGTTCTAGAATTTCCCAGAAATCATACGTGTTTCTCACCACATTTGTGGTTCACTGTACGCGGATAGCAAGGCGGGACAGTCAATGTCGGAGACGTCGAGGGTTGCATCCGCCGAATTTGCAGGCCTTTTGGCCCCTTCGTCGCCTCGTGTTTTTCGTGGGCGTCTTTGAGCGTGTAGGTTCTAGTCCCGAGCACCGGACCACTCCTCACCCCACAGGCGTCATCACCAGGTTGGGACTCGGCGGATTTAGCGCGCGGGTGGATATAGCGCACCGGTGGGGGAGGTATAGCGAGCTCGTGGATGTATGGGAGTGATGTTACGCCGCACTGCCCCTTCCGTGCCAGTGGAGAACGTAGTTCGCATAGCTTACTCACACTCTGCCACGGGAATCTACTAGGCTTCTAGAGCGCTCAATATTCGGAATGAATTGGCGGGATTCGACGGGCCTCATAACGGGGATTGCCGTGATTTCGGGGCGAGCGGAGTCGCCGGAGGGCCCGCCACCCATATGGTGCTACACCCGGCACGCTCCTCTCCTGGCGCAGCTGAAGCGCGCGGAAGTCCCCCCTCATCAGGCGCAGAGGAACCACGTGGAGCTCCCCCCTGGCGCGGGACCTCCCCTAGTAACGGATGCAGAAGGTGGTCCTCCCATCCTCCGGTCCTCCCCTTGTAGCGGCTAAAAAACGAATTAGAAAAGGTATTCCGGGGGTCGGGGGAGCAGCGGAAGGTGGTCAGGGGGTCGGGGGAGCAGCGGCTAAAGATGGGAAGGGGGATCGAGAGGAGAGGCGAAATGGGGAGGCGTTCGCTCGGCCGAAGAATCTAAGGCAACACAAGGTTTCCCATTCACAGGAATGTTGCTCCTCACTCACTCACTCACACAATCACTCACAGGAATGTCCGGGGGTCGGGTGACCGCACCTGACCACACCTGACCGCACCTGACCGCCTGACTGCATGTATGGATCTGCAGTGCGGCTTTCCGCATGGCTCCATGGTTTCCAAAAAGCATTTCATCCTTTTTGCCTCTGGCATTTCCCCCATGCAATTTCTTCCCCTTCCACTGCAGAGGTCGTTTGTGTGTCCCCATGCACGCTGCCAGAGGCTTCACAAACCAACGCCTCATTTGTCCTCCTCTGCCTTTATCCTCTTCTGTCTCTCCCTCCACCCCCCGGCCCTGCACTGCCCCTTCCGCTGCAGAGGTCGTTCGGGTGTCCGCATGCAGACTGCCAAAGAGATTTCAGAAAAAAGACGGATTTCATGCAGCACTTGCTTTCGCACGATTCCAATGCTCCTAGGGTGAGTTGCCCTGAATCTCTCTTAAAGGCGCTTCCTCTATCACGTCAGTAGCGCCCGTGCCCCCATGCCCAGTGTTCCAAGATAATGAAGCACCACTACGGCATTCTGTGGAATGCTGCAGCATGCGACCATTGTGACGAGGAGAGGAGTTTTTTGTGTGTAATTAGTCGATTTTTGAGTCGACTCAAAAATAGGAGTTTTTCGTGCTCCAGTGCCGTTCACCATTTAATCTCTCCCCCACACCCCCCCCCCTCCCCCTTCGCCCCCCTTCCCCCTCCACCCCCCCTCCCCTTCCCCCACCAGCACCCGTGCCCCCATCCCCAGTGCGACAAGACTTTCAATTACCGCAAAGGCATGCTGTAGCATGTGCGGACGAACCATCAGGGGGGGGAGGGCAGCAGGAAGCAGCCGGGGGGGGAGGAGGGCGCTGGGGGAAAGCAGGCAGAACAAGAGGGACGGAAAGGGGAGGGCGAAAGGGAAAGGTTAGGGGACGGTAGGATGGAGGGAGTGGTGATGAGAGGCGATGATGATTTGGTGGGGGGTGGGGTGAGGAATGGTGGAATGGGGGAGTGCGGGTTGGAGGGAGGAGGCGGACTGGTGAGAGAGCTATGCTTAGAGGGGGAGGAGGAGGTGGAGGTGGAAGAGGTGGGGGGAGATGGGGATGGGGAGGAGAGTGAGGTGGAGTGGGTGGGGGAGAGTGCGAGGGAGTGTGTGGGGGAGGAGGATGATGATGACGTGGAGGTAGGGCTGATGGGGGATACTGGATTGGTGAAGAAGGAGAGGGAGGAGGGGAAGGAGAGGGAGGAGGAAAAAGGGAAGGAGGAGGGGGGCCACGAGAAGCGCTATGGATGTGAAGAGGCTGGGATGGCATTCCCTCAATCATGCCGCTTGAAGAGGCACAAGGCCATCCATTCCAAGCAGGTCTGTTTCTCTCTCTCTCACTCACTTACTCACTCACTCATTCAACCACTCGCACTGCCACCTGCACCCCACGCGCTCATCTCGTCCCTTCCCCCAGTTGTGCCGTCCCTCACCGCCTGAACATCTTCCCCAGTTGTGCCGTCCCTCACCGCCTGAACATCTTCCCCAGTTGTGCCGTCCCTCACCGCCTGAACATCTTCCCCAGTTGTGCCGTCCCTCACCGCCTGAACATCTTCCCCAGTTGTCCCGTCCCTCACCGCCTGAACATCTTCCCCAGTTGTCCCGTCCCTCACCGCCTGAACATCTCCCCCAGTTGTCCCGTCCTTTGAAGAGGTCTTTCGTATATCCAAACGCGGATTGCCACAAGGCATTCACGACTAGCACTCTTCGCAAGAGGCACATTCTTTCGCACGACCCCAATGCTCCGCGGGTGAGCTTCCCCTTGCTCTCTTCCTCCCCTTCCCCTTGCTCTCTCCGCCCCCTTTCCTTTCCCCCCCTCACCGACTGAGCTAGTTTTGAGGCGCCTCAAATCTCCCCCCTTTCCTTTCCACCTCTCACCAACTGAGTCTCTGCCCCAATTGCCCCTTCCGGTGCAGAGGTCGTTCGTGTGTCTGCATGCGGACTGCCACAAGGCATTCAAGTGCAGCTCTCATCTCAAGAGGCACCTTCTGTCGCACGACCCCAATGCTCCGCGGGTGAGCTCCCCTCGCCCTCGTCCCCCTTTCCCCCTCCCCAGTCTACCTGCATCCTTGGTGACTTTTGAGTCGACACAAAAGTCACCTCGTTACAATGTCACTCAAAAGTCACCTCGTTACAATGTCACTCAAAAGTCACCTCGTCCCCCTTTTCCCCCTCCCCAGTCTACCTGCATCCTTCCCCCGCCCCCCCTTACCCCTCACCCTTCCACCTTTCCCCCTTCCCCCCTTCCCCCCTTCCCCCCTTCCCCTGTTACCCCTTCACCTTTCCCCCTTTCCCTTTCTCAAAAGTCACTCCTACCTTCTTCCCCACCGTTTGAGTCGACTCAAAAGTCACTCCTACCTTCTTCCCCACCGTTTGAGTCGACTCAAAAGTCACTCCTACCTTCTTCCCCACCGTTTGAGTCGACTCAATAGTCACTCCTACCTTCTTCCCCACCGTTTGAGTCGACTCAATAGTCACTCCTACCTTCTTCCCCACCGTTTGAGTCGACTCAATAGTCACTCCTACCTTCTTCCCCACCGTTTGAGTCGACTCAATAGTCACTCCTACCTTCTTCCCCACCGTTTGAGTCGACTCAAAAATCACTCCTACCTTCTTCCCCACCGTTTGAGTCGACTCAAAAATCACTCCTACCTTCTTCCCCACCGTTTGAGTCGACTCAAAAGTCACTCCTACCTTCTTCCCCACCGTTTGAGTCGACTCAAAAGTCACTCCTACCTTCTCGCGTACGTCCTTATCCTCTGCGTACGTCCTTGTCCTTTTTCTCTCTTCTTCACCCATTCTCAGACCCCTTATCATCTCTGTCGGCTGTCGGCTGTCGGCTGTCGGCTGTTTCCATCCCTGTGGGCTGTTTTGTGATCTTCTTAGGACAGTGACTTTCCCTCAGTCTGCCTTTCAGCTCCTTGTCCCCTCCTCCCCCTCCCCCCCCCCCTTGCACCACAACAGCACCCGTGTCAGCATCCCCAGTGCCCAAAGAGTTTCAAACGGCGAGACGATATGTTGGGCCATTTAAGAAAGCAGCATGGTGGGGAGGAGGGCAGCAGAAAGCAGCATGGTGGGGAGGAGGGCGGCAGGAAGGATCATCGGGGGGAGGAGGGCGCAAGGATGGAGCAGGAGGGGAAGCAGGGCGCTAGGGTGGAGCAGGGCGGGGAGGAGGGCGCTGGGGGAAAGCAGAGGGGGGGGGAGGGCACTGGGGGAAAGCAGAGGGTAGAGGAGGGCACCAGGGGGGATCAGGGAGGGGAGGAGGGCGCTGGGGGAAAGCAGGGGGGGGAGGAGGGCGCTGGGGGAAAGCAGAGGGGAGAGGAGGGCGCTGGGGGAAAGCAGAGGGGAGAGGATTGCGCTGGGGGAAAGCAGGGGGGAGAGGAGGGCACTGGGGGAAAGCAGGGGGGAGAGGAGGGCGCTGGGGGCGGGCTGAGAACTGCACATTGGGTGAAGGAGGGGAAGCGAGCGCATGGGAGAAAGGGAGGGCATGTGGGCAACAATGAAGCCAATGCTGTGAGGGAAGAGGATGATGGGGCAACCCACCCCATCCCTGCACATCCAATGCTGGCGCTGACGAGGTTTGTAACCATCATCGGGTTGTAACCCGCACCCTCCCTGCTAGCAAGGAAGACACGACTTTTGAGGAGCCTCAAAGCTGGGAAGCCAATGCTGCAGAGGATGGGCCAACCCATACCCTCCCTGCAAGCAACGAAGACATGACTCCTGAGGGCCCTTTTAGCCTGGAACCCAATGCTGCAAACGATGGGGTAATCCAACCCTCCCCCGCCAATGGGAAAGACACGATTCTAGAGGAGGCCCAAAGCTGGGAAGCCGATGCTGAGATCGACGGAGTAACCCGCCTCTCCCCTGCAAGGGCGGAAGACATGGCTCTGGAAGGGCCTCGGAGCCTAGAAGCCAATGCTGCAAATGATGGGGGAACCCATCCCCGCCCTCCAGGCGAGGGGAACTTGAAACTTGAGGAGTCTCTTAGCCTGCAACCCAATGCTCTGAGTGGTGGGGCAACCCGTCCCCTCCCAGCAAGGGACGAAGACATGACCCTAGAGGCCAATGCTCTAATCTTGGAAGCCAATGCTGTGAGTGACCGAGTAACCCATACCCTCCCTGCTCGGCAGGGAGACATGACCCTGGAGGACCCTCAAGGCTTGGAAGCCAGTGCTGTGAGTGGTGGACTAACCCATCGCTTCCCTTCCAGCGGGGGGGAGGTGAAACTTGAGGAGCCTCTTAGCCAGCAACCCAATACTCGTGGTGCACTGACCCGTCCCCTCCCTGCAAGGGACGAAGAGATGACTCTTGAGGCCAACCCTCTAATCTTGGAAACCGGTGCTGTGAGTGGCGGAGTAACCCATATCCCTCCTGCACAGGAGGAGGAACACACGACCCTTGAGGAGGCTCGGTTCCAGGAAGCCAATGCTGTGAGTGACGGAGTAGCCCATACCCTCCCTGCATGGCAGAAAGACATGACTCTGCAGGATGCTCATAGCTTGGAAGCCCATGCTGTGAGCGGTGGACTAGCCCATCCTCTGCCTCCCAGCGAGCGAAACATGAAAGTTGAGGAGCCTCTTACCCTGCAACCCACTGCTCTAAGTGCCGCGGCAGCAACTGCTGCGACTGGCGAGTTACTCCAGCCTCGAGGGATGAGCAGCATGGGAGGAGCAAGTGATGGGGTCGTCCATCCCCTTGCGTGTATCGAGGGCTGCGTGGCAGCCAATGCTGCGAATGGCGAGTTACCCCAGCCTCGAGGATCAGCAACATGGGAGCTGATTTTGCAAACAAAGGGATGGTCCATCCCCCCCTCCCTTCATGGGTGGGCAGCGAGGGAAAGCCGGTGCTTCTGCTTCAAGAGGAGGGCGGTGTGGCTGGAGGAGGGAGAAGGGAAGCGGGAAACTCCGGGGGAAATGGGGGAAAGTATCAGTTGTGGGGGAAGGAGGAGGTTGGGTGCGGTATGGATGGTGTGAGAGGAGCGGGGAAGGAGGAGGGGATGGAGAGCCGCATGGTTGGAGAAGGGAGAGGGGGAGCGGGAGTATCCAGGGGAAATGGAGGAGGAAATCAGCCTTGGGAGAATGAGGAGTTTGGGTGCGGTGCAGAGGGTGGGAGAAGGAGGGTGCGGAGGGTGGGGAAGGAGGGGTGGATGGAGAAGAGCAGGGGGTCGGGCGAAGATAGGGGGCAGCGTGGGGAGGGGGGAGGGATGGCAGAAGAGGAGGGGGGTAGGGACGGGGAAAGAGGAGGAGAGGAGAGGGGCAGAGAGGATAGGGATGGAAGGACGGAGGGAGGTGCATCAGTGGAGGGAGGTGCATCAGTGGAGGGAGGTGCATCAGTGGGAGGAGGTGCATCCCTTGTTGGGAACAAGGGTACTGCAAGTGGGTGTGGGGCTGTTAGGGGGGAGCTGTTTGCAAAGCGTGGAGGAGAAGAGATGTCCCAGAGGAGAGAGGGTCCGAGGAAGAGAAGGCGTGCTGGAGTTGAGGGGGGGGCAGCTGGTTTGAGGAAGAATCACCTGAAAGGGCACCTGAGGCAGCAGAAGAATTACCTGGGCGCAAGTGTGAAGCATCTCGTGGGGAACAGAAGCGGCCGATGCAAGCTGAAACAACACCTGAAGGAAACAGAGAAGGAGCACCTGAGGCGGAAGGCAATGCTCCTGAAGGAGGAAGAGGCTCACCTGAAGTGGCACGAGGAGCACCTGAAACAACAAAAAGAGCACCTGAGACAGCAGGGGGATTACCTGAAGCAACAGCTAAAGCTGATGGAACTACAGCTGAAGCAGCAGGAGGAGCACCTGAAGCAACAGAGCGAGTATTTGGTCAAGCAGGAAAACCACCTGAGGCTGCAGAAGCGGCACTTTAAGTTTCAGGTGCAACACGCGCGGTTTTGAAGGATCCCGCTGAATCGTCCTTCCGCTGATGAGTGAGGAGGATTCTGCGGGAATTGGACGTTTCCTGAGAAAACGGGAAAAAAGGGCCTGACGGAAACAGAAGAAAGACACCTGGAGGCAGTGGAGGAAAAGCTGAGGTGGAAGGAGCTGCTTTTGACGCAGGAGGAGATGTGCCTGGGGAAGCAGGGGTGATACCTGAAACATCAGAAGGAGCACCTGAAGAAGCAGGCAGAGCTTCACAAAGAGCATGAAAACCACCCGAGCAGTAAAGAGGTGATGGTAGATGGGGGGGGGGGGGGGGTGGGTTTAGGATGCCTGGCTGATGTGATATCGGATGGTGGGAGGAAACAATGCGACGATGCCATTCTGCACAGGAATTCGCAGTATGTCCATGTGGATTTTGGACTTAGATGATGAATGTTGGCATGTACATGCAAGCTTATACTTACTGGTATATGGTGGGTTATTGTAAATTCAGTAAAACACAACATATTGTGATTGATAGTGAGGAGAATGTACGAATTTAGTGAGAAGTTATACACTTTATATGTGCGATTTCTGCGTGTTCTACACTGTGTGTAGTTTTGAGTCACATCACCTGTCAGAAGAGTCACACATCGCCAGGGGGCTGCCGTCAGAGTCGCAGAACGCCAAACCCCCCGCGCACTTCCCCAACGGCGACTTTTTGCGGGGACAGCGCAAATAGGCGCAGATAGGTCGCGTGCATACAGCGGAAATAGCGCCGACAGCGGAAATGTCGTCCGCGGAAGGCGACGGTTCGCTTCCGCGGCGGAACACGCGGAGGTCGACTCGACTGGCGCAGCTTGGCGGAGCGGAGGCACACGGAAGGAGTAGCGCGGAAGCAGGAGGAAGGGATAGCGCGGAAGCAGGCGGAAAGAATAGCGCGGAAATTAAGGGCGTAGATGGTCGGAAGGCTTTAGCGACTTGTGACCGTGACAGCAGCAGCAGTAGCAGCGGAGGAAGCAGTAGCAGCGATAGCTCCGGAAGCAGCTCGGAAGGTTCCATTTGCAGCAGCAAGGGATTTGTCGTGAGCGACGACGTCGAATCGTCAGGTGACGACAGCATGACGTCAGTCGAGGAGGAACGGTCCCGGCGGGCAGGAAGAAAAGGTTCTGCGTCGGGCAGAAGAAAGAATGGTGAGGGTGCTGGAGGGAGCAAGGAGAGGGAGGCTAAAATTAGGGTTAGAGGAGCCATGGGAAAGCAGGTTGCAACACCGAAGGGAGCAGCAGGAAGGGTGATTGCAACACCTACAGGAGGCACAGGACAGACGGCTGCAGCAGCAAAAACAGCAGCAGGGAGGAGTGAAACGGGCTCAGGCGATACGAGGGAGAAGCAAGCGAGCGCTGGAGGGGGAGAAAGGGAGAGAGGAATAGGTGGAGGAGGGAGAGGTGGGGGGAAAGAAGGGGGGCGGGATAAGGGAGCGACGGTTGCAGCAGCGAAGGGATTAGCAGGAAAGACGGCTGGAGCACCGAAAGCAGCAACAGGAAGGAGTGAAAAGGGGTTGGAAGGTGTGAGTGGGAAGGAAGAGAGGTCTGCAAGGAAAGAAAGAGACACAGAAGTAGGTGGAGGAGGGAGAGGAAGGGGGGGAGAAGGCGAGATGGAAGTAGTAGCAGCAACAGCAGCAGCAGCAGCAAGAGCTGCTGCGATGGGGTGTATAGATGCGGAAACATATGGGGAAGGGGGGTTAACAGGGGGTGTAGATGGGTGGATCGACCCTGTAGCGCAGTACATACAGTGGTCTATAAAGGGGATGAGGAGAGGAGGGGGAGGGGACATGGGAGGGGGAGTGGAGGAGGGAGGGTGGGGAGAGGAGTGGGAGGGAGAGGAGGAGTGGGAAGAGGAGTATGATGAGGAGGGGGGGGAGGAGGGGGAGGAAGAGGAAGAGGAGGAGGAGGAGGAGGAGGAAGAAGTGGGGGGAGAGGAGGGGAGAGGAGGGGCTGGGGACAGCAGTAGGCAGCAGCAGGGGAGGGAGCTAGAGGAGAGTATCGTAGGAGAGGTGGCAGGGCGGGCAGAAGCAGCCGAGCAGGCAGAAGCAGCAGGGCGGGCAGAAGCAGCAGGGCTGGCAGAAGCAGCAGGGCGGGCAGAAGCAGCAGGGCGGGCAGAAACAGTAGGGCGGGCAGAAGCAGCAGGGCGGGCAGCAAAAGCACTAGGGCGTGAGAAGGAGACAGCAATCTGTACAGGGGGTGAAGTTTGTACCCAGCGTGTGAATACAGATGAGCATCGGGGTTGTAAAAAGAGTGGGGGTCAAAGAGAAGGTGAGAGTCAGGGGGAGGGAAGGAGAGGGAGTGAGGATCCGAAGCAGAGAGAGAAGTGTGGAGAGATGGAAGCAGATGGTGCTGGTGGTGCTTTAGGGGATGATAAGGAGACACGGGGAGACAAGGAGGCACGGGGAGACAAGGAGGCACGGGGAGACAAGGAGGCACGGGGAGACAAGGAGGCACGGGGAGACAAGGAGGCACGGGGAGACAAGGAGGCACGGGGAGACAAGGAGGCACGGGGAGACAAGGAGGCACGGGGAGACAAGGAGGCACGGGGAGACAAGGAGGCACGGGGAGACAAGGAGGCACAGGGAGACAAGGAGGCACGGGGAGACAAGGAGGCACGGGGAGACAAGGAGGCACGGGGAGACAAGGAGGCACGGGGAGACAAGGAGGCACGGGGAGACAAGGAGGCACGGGGAGACAAGGAGGCACGGGGAGACAAGGAGGCACGGGGAGACAAGGAGGCACGGGGAGACAAGGAGGCACGGGGAGACAAGGAGGCACGGGGAGACAAGGAGACACGGGGAGACAAGGAGGCACGGGGAGACAAGGAGTCAGGAGACTCCCGAGGGGCGAAAGAAGGAGAGTCAAGAGGCGTTGAAGGGGGGTGGAGTGGCGGAAGGGGCAACACAGTAAGCCAAGAGGAGAACTCTAGGGAAGCAGAAGGGGGTCTGGGGGATCAAGACATGCCTTCCATAGGCGCGTGCACAGATCGCGTGACTGCGTCTGGGGATGCTGTTGGTGGAGGTGCGGACACTAATGAGGACCCTCTTAGCGGGTATATGGGTGCTTTAGGAGGGGATACGGACCCCTTAGGTGGGTACATGGATCCCTTGGAGCAGTACATGCTGTGGTCTGGCGTGGGGATGGGGGAAGGGGGAGGGGGGGAAGGGGGGGAGGAGGAACGGGGGGAGGATGGGGGGGAGGAGGGAGAGGAGGAGGTGGGGGAAGAGGGGGTGGAAGGGGAGGGCAGGGGGGAAAATGAGGAGGAGGGAGAAAAGGAGAGAAGGGAAGGGAAGGAGGGGATGGCGGTTGCGGGGGGGAGAGAGGGAGGAGAGGGGAGGAAAGAGGAGCCCGAGAGACTGAGAGTGGGGAATGAGGGGCAGGGTGGAGAGGGTAGTGGTGGGAAGAAGAAGGATGGGAATGGTGAGGTGAGAGGAGGGGGAGTGGGGGGAGTGGGGGGAGTGGGGGGAGTGGGGGGTGGTGGAGGGGGGGAAGGAGGGCTCGGGGAAAGAGGGAGATCAGGAGGTGGCCGCTTGGGTGAGGAAGGGCCAGAGGAAAGGCGTGAAGGAAGGGGAGAGCAGGATATGAAGGGAGAGGGGCAGGGACGGGCGGAGAAAGAGAAGATGGCGAGAGATAGTGAGGTGAGAGATGGTGGGGCGAGAGATGGTGGGGCGAGAGATGGTGAGGTGAGAGATGGTGAGGTGAGAGATGGTGAGGCGAGAGATAGTGAGGCGAGAGATGGTGAGGCGAGAGATGGTGAGGCGAGAGATGGTGAGGTGAGAGATGGTGGGGCGAGAGATAGTGAGGGGAGAGATGGTGAGGCGAGAGATGGCGAGGCGAGAGATGGTGAGGCGAGAGATGGTGAGGCGAGAGATGGTGAGGTGAGAGATGGTGAGGCGAGAGATGGTGAGGCGAGAGATGGTGAGGCGAGAGATGGTGAGGCGAGAGATGGTGAGGCGAGAGATGGTGAGGGGAGAGATGGTGAGGCGAGAGATGGTGAGGCGAGAGATGGTGAGGCGAGAGATGGTGAGGCGAGAGATGGTGAGGCGAGAGATGGCGATTTAGGGGAAGGAAGAGAAGCACAAGATGGGGAAGCAGATGATGATATAGTGGAGGTTGGAGGTGATGGGATAGTGGAAGGAGATAGAGTGGGGAACGACAGGTTAGGCAGAGAAAAGGGAGGCATGAGCGGCTTGCTTAGTGGAGAAGTGGATAAGAAGGAGCTTGGGGAGGGAGACGGCGACGAGGAGGTGTTGGAAGTGGTTGAGATGGGAAAGGAAGTGGTGAAGGATGCTGAGGAGAGGGATGCTGATGGGAGGGAGGGGATGCGTGGCGGTGCTGGTGGTGAGGTGAGAAGAGGGCGAGGGAGGGGGAAGGGAAGGAGCGGAAGGGGGAAGGGGAATGTGAAGAAGGCTGAAGAGAAGGGAGAGAGGAACCTGCGGGTAAAAGAGAAGGGGAGGGAGCAGGAGCAGGAGCCGGAGGGCGATGGGGATAAAGAGAAGGAGAGCAGAAAGGAAGTGGAGAGGGAGGAGGAACAGGGGGAGGAGGAAGAGGCGGAGGTTGAGTGGGTGGAGGAGGAGGAGGAGGAGGGGAAGGTTGAGGAAGGAAAACGGATATGCCTAAAGAGGGGACGAAAAGGGGCTAAGGGCAAGGAGAAGGAAAATGAAGGGGAGGTGGAAAAGGATGAGGAGGAGGCGGATGAGGAGGAGGAAGGAGAGGATTCACTGAAAGGCGAGACGAAGAGAAAATGCAAGGAAAGGGAAAAGGAGGCGGACGAGACTGGTAAGAAGAAGAGAAAGAGGAGTAGTAAGCACAAGGAGACTGAGGAGGAGGAGGAGGCCAGGGAGGAGGAGGGGGAGGAAGAGGAAGAGATTGAGGAGGAAGTAAAGAAGGGAAGAAAGAGGAGAAAGCAGAGAGAGGAGGAGAAGGGGGAGGATATGAAAGAGGAGTGGGAGGAGGATGAAGAGGAGGAGAGTGAGGAGGGGGGAGAAACGAAAAGGGGCAGGAAGAAGAGGACGTACAAGCAGAAGGAGAAGCGGTATGCATGCAAGCAGTGCGGGATGGCGTTTACCCGGCCGGCGTACGTGCGGCAGCACATGGCCACCCACTCCAACCAGGTGGGGTGATGCTTGCTCGCTCGCTTGCTTGCTTTCAAAGCTACTTGCTTGCTCCTTAGTCTAGTCTCGCAACCCCTTGCTTGCTCTCGCAACCGTCCTCTCAGCCGCCCTACGTGCAGCAGCACATGGCCACCCACTCCAACCAGGTGGGGTTTAGCTCACTATCACTATCACTCATTATACACTCACTATCACTATCACTCATTATACACTCACTATTACTATCACTCATTATACACTCACTATCACTATCACTCAATATACACTCAGTATCACCATCACTCATTATACACTCACTATCACTATCACTCATTATACACTCACTATCACTATCTCTCATTATACACTCACTATCACTATCACTCATTATACACTCACTATCACGATCGCTCATTATACACTCACTATCACTCATTTATACACTCACTCACTGGCTATACTCATGATTTCAACCCCCCATCCTATTGCCCCCCCACTACACAAGTCGTTCGGGTGTCCGCACGAGAATTGCTAGCAGAGCAGGCGTTTGGCAGGAAGTATCATCAGCCCTTCTTGCACCTCATTGCTACTTTTGAGGCGCCTCAAGTATCTTCAGCCCTCTGCCCCTCATAGCTCATCCCCTCCCCTGCCCTCCCCTCCCCGTACTTCCCTCGTTCCCTCGACCGCCCTTCTCTCACCTCCACCGCGGAAGTACTTTGTGTGCAGGAGGACTGCACGCAAAGAAGTACTTTGGTGCAGGAGGACTGCACGCAAAGAAGTACTTTGTGTGCAGGAGGACTGCCCGCATGAAGACTGCAGAATGGCGTTTGAGAGGATGAGCGTACCATCTGTCTGCCCCTCTGCTGCTCGTCGTTGTCCATGTGCTATCCCCACGTGCCCCCTACTGTCCTCCCCTGGTGGGCAGAAGTCGTTTGTTGTGTGCCCACATGAGGATTTCGGAAGAGTGTTTGGGAGGAAGTATCATCTGCCGCTCTGCTCCCCATAGCTCATCCCCTCCCTCCCCCCTTGTGCCCTCTAATGCCCTCCCCTCACCACCACCACAGAAGTCATTTGTGTGTCCGCATGAGGATTGCGGAAGGGCGTTTGGGAGGAAGTACCATCTGCAGCGCCACATGCAGTCCCATGCTGACACCAACCGGGTAAGTGCTGGGGGTGTTGCATGCATTGCAAGGGCATGACGGCAGTGTGTCGACGTAAACACATGCAGTGGCACATGCAGTCTCACGCTGCCGACACAGACCAGGTAGGTTCAGTGTGCGTTGCATGTAAGCATGGGGAAGGCATGAAGACGGTGTGTTGACACAAGCACAGCTGCAGCGACAACATGCAGTCCCATGCTGCCGACACCGACCGGGTTAGTGCTGCTTGCAAGAAGACATTGGGGGTGTGACAAAGAATTGCAAACGTGAGAAGGCTGTGAGGGAGTGAGGAAGGGCGTTTGGAAGAAAGTACCATCTGCAGCGCCACGTGCAGTCCCGTGCTGTGCTGTTGATGACAGACAGGCACCGACTGGGTTGGTTCCCTCTCCTTTCTGAATTCTCCCGGTCGTTACTTCTCCCTCTTCCCGTTCCCTCTTCTGGTACCAGTAAAGAAGTCTGTATTGTTTCTGGTGCTGCTTTGGAGGAGTTTTTATTTTCTTTTCTTTTCTTTTTCTTCCTGTGTCTTTGTTGCTGCCTTTCCCGAATGGACTATTCTAGTCCGTCCCATCTTCCGCCCGGCAGTTCCCCATAGAGCATGCTGAGAGTAGTGTTTTCGTTTTGAGACCCCCAGAGAGCATACTGGGACACATCCGGCTTCTCTCTCATGTAAATCTCTCTTATATTTTCGGATAGAGCCAACAGAGACAGGCCCCTATCCTCACATCCCCTCTTCTCCCCTTCTTCACCCCGATCTCCCCTTCACTGATCTCCCCTTCACTGATCTCCCCTTCACTGCTGTTCTTCCCAGCTCCCCTGTGCGCACCCGCAGTGCACGCAGGCGTTCAGTCTGCGGGACAGCATGCTGCGGCACGTCGTGTTGTTTCCTAGTTGCCCACCCTCTTCCGTCCCCCCCCCCCTTCCTTGTGGTTGTCCCCCTCCTTCCCCCCAACTCACCCTGCCCCTGTCACTTCCCCTGTGCGCACCCCCAGTTAGGGATGGGCAGGGGGCGAGTCGAGTAAAACTTGCCTCGAGTAATTATGACTCGCCTCCCTTAATTGGCGAGTCGAGCAATACTTGAGTCGAGCTTTTTTCTCAAGGGCCCGACTCGTTTACTCGTTTTTTAGACGAGTAAAATTTTTACTCGGGGCGAGTAGTTTTTACTCGCCCTGAGGCAAGCATTACTCGACTCGGGCCATTGTTCCCCACTTCCCTTTCTCTCACATTCTGGGAGGGGTGCTTTTAGGGGGCCAGAGTTGTAAGTCCAGCTGTGCATTGCCATGCAATGCACGTTTTGAGTGTGAACAAGGGCAATGAGGTTGTGACAGGTGCCTATAACCTTTTTTGCAAAGGTCTGCCCTTGAGGTTGGTGTCCAATCACCACGTCCCGTGACCACCACGTGCTGGCAGGTTGGGTCAGGTGCTGCAGAAGGGAAGAGCCTTCTCCGTTCCATGTGTGCACTAGATCAATAATTGCAGCAACCAACAAAGACAGTTGCACATTTGTTATGATAAGTTGACGCTGTCACGGGGGTATAAATAACCAACAAAGACAGTCACTGATCAAGTCAGGGAGAGAGATGACATCGAGGGCAAGCAAGGGCTTGTCAAGTGTCGGGGCAAGGGCAAGGCAAGGGCAGCCAGCCAGCCAGGCAAGCAAGTCCCCGACGTCGCCTCTATCACATCCCCTCCTCCACCTCCACCCCCAAGTCCTCCACCTCCTCATCCCCAGTGACCGGCGCGTCGGCGAGCCGCTCGCCGGGGTGCGACGCAATCCATGACTTCAAAGTCATGCAGGCGCGCACACGCTCGGCCCCAAGCCGATGCCGCTTCCATGTGATAAGGTTGCGGCTCTGAGAGAAGACTCTCTCGCTTGCCGCCGACGTAGCGGGGATGGCAAGGTAATCCCTGGCCATCGCCTGCAGTCCGGGAAGGTCCGACCTGCGGCGCCAGTAGGCAAGCGGCGATGCCCAGATCGGCTCCAGCGGCTCATCCACATACAGCTGTATCTCGTCCTTGACCTGGGAGGATTGCTGGCTGCGGAGCTGTGTGAGCTGGGCAACCAAACTGTCACCGTCGTCATCATCTCCCCCGAACGCTGAGCTGAAACGGCCGGGGACATCGTCACTTCCATCCCCTCCCATCCTCCCCATCCCACCACCCCTCACGACCTCAGCGTTCCCCGCTGCCTCACGGACCTTGATCATGTAGGGCAGCCACTTACCGCGCACCAGATCTAGCACATCAGCCTCCTGCACCTGGTCAACAACAGAGGTGACGAGGGAGCCACGCGGGAGGCTGAAGTAGCCCAGCTTCATGGACGGGTCCAGAAACGTCGCGATGCAGAGCTCATCGCTACTGCTGCAGTAGTACTCCTGCAGTTTGGGCAGAGCCGCACCGATGCACGCAGTGATGAGGGGGGGGGGGGGTTCGCGGGGTCCTGCTGCAGCTTGTCCAACCTGCCCATGAGTTCGTTGAACTGCGGCACCACCCGGCTGACGGTAGGATACTGGGACCCTTCGGCGGCCAGAGTGACGGCGTTGAATGGCTTGAGGAAAGCAGCGAGTACCTCAAGCGTCCGCCACTGCTCAGGGCTGAGGCGTAGTTCCGCAAGGCGCCTCGTCTCGCGGGTAGTGGACTGCGGGGCGGGGTGTGTCATGCAATTGGCGGGGGCGGGGTGGGCGCCAATGTGGCGATCCAATGGAGTGTGTCACACTTGTGGGGTTGCGCGTATGGCTGCATGTATGGCGGCATGTATGGGTGCATGTATGGCTGCGTGTACAGCTGCGTGTACGGCTTCATACGGCTACATGTATGGCATCTGAAAAGGCCGGCGGGGGCCAGCGTCACACTTGCTTAAGAACAGCAAATGCACCGCGAAGGAAGGCTAGTTAACTTGCCCAATGGGGAGGAGGCTCACCCCAACGGCGCGGCGGAAGAAGGCATCCAGTGCCTCTCGGAGACGAAGGCCACGTGTGATCATGTTGAAGGTCGACCCCCAACGCACATCCATGTCCTGTCGTAGCTTAAGGACCGGCTGTGTAGGATATTGTCGGCGCTGCTCCTCCTCGAACTGCAGCACCTTCTGGGGCCTGAACCCGATGAAGGTCGCGCATTCGCGCAGAATGCCTAGCGGTTCCTTCACCTCCTCAACCCCCCGCAATACCTGCTGCACTGCAAGATTGCAGATGTGCGCGAGGCAACTGGGGAGGGAGTGGAGGAAGAGAGGGGGAATGGAATCTGGCCGGCTAAGGGCCGGGACCATGTGCTTATTGGTACCCGAGCACGTGGCAGCAGATGGGATTATGTAGGGCAGCATGGCTTAAAACCTTACCGGATGTGCAGGCCAGTGCTGAATAGGCGAGGAAACCTGTCGCCAGGGCCCTGCCTCGACAACCACTGCATTGCAGCAATGTTCGTGGAGGCGTTGTCCGTTGTGACCGCCATGCAACGGCCCACCAGCCCCCAATCCAGAACCACTTCCTCCAGCACCGCCGCCACGACGGCGGCAGTATGCCTGGCTGGAAGCGCAGCGAACTCAAGCGTAGCCTGCCTGAATTCGAACGCGGTGGTCAGCCAGTGGCCGGTGACCGCCATGTACCCGCGATGGTTCTCGCCCGACCAGATGTCGGTGGTGAAGGACATCGCCCCCCCACCTGCGGCAACTGCCACCTCCAGCTTACTCATGGCGCGGGCTGCACGGGACATGCGGACAAGGCCCCGTGTCATGGCACCGCGCGATGGGATCACACCAGGTGCCCCACACTGGACGTTGGAGGCAGTCATCATGCGGCGGTACTGGTTTGGCGGGGGCAAGGCAGCAAGGGGTCGCGGGTGATGGACGTATTGCTATACGGGGTTTAGCATGTGCTCTGCAGCGTGACGAGGTGGGCGCACACAAGAGGCATGCAACAAGGGCAGAGTGGTGGGGTTGGGTGGTGGGCTTACGGTCGGCCGGTCGACTATGCTGAAAGCCAGATCTGCGTCGACGATGAACTCAATTATCGTCTGCCGCAAGTAGCTCTGGTCAAGGCGAGCCTGCATGTAGCGTGTCATGCTCTGCTGACCTCCCTGCCCCGACTCAGAAGGAGGGAGCAGTGGCCACCAGCCATGGCCATCCCATGCTAGCTTTCCGTCAGGGACCTCCCCAGCATCCCCGTACCCGCCCTCGGGGAATAGTTCGTCGGGCCCCACCTCCCCTCCCTTCCACCTGCGCCCCCATATCTCCCAGTGGTGCAAGTGTTTGCGCTGCATGTGCGAACGGCCGGTCGATGTGTTGCTGCCAGCAAAGGAGAGGGCTTTCCCGCACTTCCGACAGCGCCTCTTATTCCCCCACTCGGTCACCACGTCGAAGCACTTGGCGACCGGGATGTCATCATCATCGGCCGTCTTCGCTCCTTTCGTGGTTCCAGCTGCTGCCTTGCCTGTGGTATTCGGGGGGGTGGGCTTCCCACTCCTCCCCCCCCCAAAACCCGCCTCTCCTCTACCACCAGGAGCTGCCAAGCCACCACCACCAGCCGCACCTCCCTGCTTTCCACGCTTCTCCTTCGCCCTCCCCGTCTCCTTCTCTTTCCCCACCCCCGTATCCTTCTCCGTCACCTTCTCCTTGGCCGTCCCTGTCCCGGATCCCCTTCCACCACCCTTAGAGCCCATGGTTGAAGGTCGGAGGTTGCCATCATCCGCCTCAACCTCCAACCCATCCAAGGCATCCTCATGCTCTTCTTCTTCATCGCCGGGGTGGAAACCCTTCTCCGAATCGTCACCCGACTCGGACGAGCTCTCCTCACTCTCCTCACCCCCCCCCTGCTCCCCGTCCGCCCCCTCCTCGGCAACAAGCACCATCGCAAGTGCACCAGCGTCCCCCCCCCCCTTGCCACTCCCAGCCCCATCGGAAACCCCTGGCCTCGAGGGGCCAGCGTTGCCAACACCTGACCCACGGCCGCCTCCCCCCCCCCTCACACCGGCGTGCGCCGCCTTCAACTTTCTGGCAGCCTCAAGCTCTGCCTCGAGTACAGCCTGCTTCAGCCGCCGCTGCTCGACGCTGGTAGGCACACCAACGTCCTCCCCTGCCTCATCTTCGCCACCCCCACGGTGGCGCTTAGAGCCTCCAGCACGCCCCTTAGGAGGCATTCCGGTCAGTTAGAGGAGAGCGTTGAACAGTGCAATGCCCGCTGGTCTCTTGCGTTTTCCTTTAGGACTCAGATCTAGGATTGTTGCAGGCCAAAACTGAAAAGGATCAACAATCCTTGCCACAGCTCTAAGTCGAGGCTAGGTGTAGTTAGACTAACGGATCTAGTTAATGAAGAAAGCACCCATGGCGTTAAATAAACGGATCTGCATTAGGAGACAGATCTAGGATTGTTGCTGGCCAGATCTGTAAAGGACCAACAACCCTTGCGACAACTCTACGTCTCCTAGATCCTAACGGATCTGGTTTAAGAAGAAAGCACCCAAAGCGCTTTGGAAACGGAGCTGCAGTAAAGTAGTGTGTGTCCTAAAACGAAACGCCAGAGCTTGGCCGACTCTGAAATAATGAACTGGCCAAGTCAAAATTCTGAGTTTTGTGCCAGCGCACCCGAGTTGCGATGGCACAAAATTGACGCGAGCCCAATTTTTGCTCGCGAGCAATTTCTGCTCGCGAGCAAAAACAGTGCAGGCGAGTAATTGTTACTCGCGAGTAAAAATTACTCGCCTGGACCAGGCGAGTAACATTCGAGTACTCGAATGCTCGACGAGTAAACTCGACTCGACTCGGGGCGAGCAATTTCCAGAGGAGGTTGACTCGTTACTCGGGAAAAACGAGTCGAGCAAACGAGTCGAGTTTTTACTCGCCTCGATTGCCCATGCTTACCCCCAGTGCACACTGGCGTTCAGCCTGCGAGACAGCATGCTGCGGCACAAATGGCTGTCCTTCTCTTTCCAACCACCCTCTCCTTTTCTCCTCCCATCTCGTTTCATATCCCCTGGCCCCGCCCCCACCCTTTCCCCCATCAGTTCCCCTGCGCTCACCCCCAGTGCACGCAGACGTTCAGCGTGCGAGATAGCATGCTGCGACACGTGAGGGAACAGCACTGGGAGGAGGAGGGCATCAGGGACAGGCTGGATCGAGTCAGCAGGGAGAGCAGGGCCGAGGGGGTGGCTGGGGGGAGTGGGTTGACTGTCGCCAAGAAACCGCCCGAGGGGAAGGCGAAAGAGGAGGGGAGTGGAGACAGAGCAGATAGGGTGAACAAGGGGAGCAAGGGAGAGGGACCCCGGGTTATGGGGGGCACGGGGGTCCCTGGAGCTCCAGGGGGGGCCGATCGGATGGAGCTCCAGCCGAGAGAGGCGGAGAATGCTGGGCGTGGAGCAACTGGGACAACTGCGGAGAGAGGCGGAGGTGAGCCTATTTTTGAGGCGCCTCAAAAAAGGGAGAGAGGCAGTGGTGAACGTAGTGCCGGTGGGAAGATTGTCTCAACTGACAGCAAGAAAGGCATTGAGAGGGTGAGCGGGAAAGAGTCGGCTCAACGTGAGGTGGTCTTGCCTGATCAAAACCAGTCGGGGCGTGGGAAGGAGAAGACAGGTGGGAGGGATGATCCTATGGCGATGATGGAAGGGAGGGGAGGCGAGGGAGGAGTGGGTGGGGGAATGGTGGAGGGAGGGCGTGTGGGAGAGAAGAGGGCGCGTGTGGGCGTGGAGGGTAGGAGGATGGGAGATAGCGAGTTGGGATATGATTTCGAAATGGAAATGAGGGAAGGAAGGAGAGCAGAGGGTGTGCCTGTGGGAGAGAAGAGGGGGGATGTGAGGGTGGAGGGTGGAGTAAAGGAGGGGGGTGAAGGGGAAGGGGGAGATGAGCTTGAGTGGAATGCTATGGAGGAGAGGAGAGGACGGGACGAGGAGGGTGGAAAGGGTTTGTGTGCGGTGGAGTGTGGTGAGACGCGGCATGATGCCGAGGGAGGTGGGGCCGTACGAGGGATGCAAGGCCACCTGCAGCAACAGAAGCGGCACCTGACAAAACGACTGGAGGTTGTTGAGGATCACCTGGAGAGCCACCTGAAGGAGAAGGAGCAGCCTGCTTTGGAGGTGAAAATTCACCTGGAACAACAGAAAGAGCACCTGAGAGCGATGAGGGAGCGCCTGAGGCAGAAGGAAATTCTCCTGAAGGAGGAAGAGGAGTTCCTGAGGCAGCAGCAGGAGCACCTGAGGCAACAGAAGGAGCACCTGAAACAACAGACAGAGGACCTGAGGCAACGGGAGCAGCAGCTGGCAATGCAAGAGCAGCGGATGGGGGAGCGGGGCATGAGAGAGCAAGGAGAGGAACACGTGCAGGAGCAGATGAGAGAGCAAGAAGTGCAGATGGGAGGGCAAGAGGTGCAGATGGGAGGGCAAGAGGTGCAGATGGGAGGGCAAGAGGTGCAGCCGGTTACCAGACTCAAGGGGCCCAATGTGCAAGCGAGCTGTTTGCTGGAGCAGTGCAGCGCCCTGCTCCTGCTCAGTGGGGGGACTCGCCCCTGCCCTCACGCTGCTGCTGCTGCTGAGTCGACTCAAGAGCAGTGCAGTGCCCCGCTTTTGCTGCAAAGGGAGGCTGGCCCTTGCCCTGACGCCGCTGCTGCTGCTCTTGCTGCTGCTGATTCTACTGCTGCTTCTCCTGCTGCTCCTGCTGCTGATGTTTCTGCTCCTGCTGCTGCTGCTGCTGCTGCTGCTGCTGCTGCTGGGCCGAAAAATGAGCAGCGCAGTGCCCCAGTTCTGCTGTCAAGGGAGGCTCGCCCCTGCCTTGATGCTGCTGCTGTGGGAGTGGGTAGTGCTGCCGCAGAGGCTGATGCTTCTGATGGCGGTGCTACGGCAACTGGTTGTGGTGTTTCTGCTACTGGTGGTGGTGTGACGGCCACTGATGGTGGTGCGACGGCTACTGATGGTGGTGCGACGGCCGCTGATGGTGGTGCGACGGCCACTGATGGTGGTGTGACAGCAACTGATGGTGGTGTGACAGCAACTGATGGTGGTGTGACAGCAACTGATGGTGGTGTGACAGCAACTGATGGTGGTGTGGCGGCAATTAAGGGGGGGTTAACGGCAAGTGATGGTGGTGCGGCAGCAATTGAGGGGGGGTTAACGGCAACTGATGGTGGTGTGGCTGCAACTGATGGTGGTGCGGCTGCAGGTGCTGGTACGAATGGCAGTCAGCACATAACTGAGAGCGAAATGGGAGATAGAGGAGGGAGTGAGATGGAGGAGGCAGAGCGAGGTGGGGATGAGATGGAAGGGAGGGAGCAAGGAGGGGATGTTTTGATAGGGCGAGCGAGAGGTGGGAGTGGGATGGAGGGGGATGGGGACATGCTGATGCGAGAGGAAGAAAGAAGGGGAGATGGTCAGGGGGAGGTGGATGTGAGAGAAGACGGCATGGTGCCGGGAATATCGTTAGAAAGTGTAAAGAAGTACAAGCGGGCCGGGATGATGAGCTGGAAACGGAGGAGGTGGTGCGACAAGGAGATGACCAAAGAGCAGGAGATGATGGCTGCAGAGAAGTTGTCGAAAGGGAAGTTAAGGAAGGGGAAGTCAAAGGAGGGGAAGTCAAGGGAGGGTCCTTGCGAAACCACCAAGGTAGGGCAAGCAGCAGGAGAAGAGGAAGCATCAACGTTAAGGGAAGGAGACGCCGACTTATCAAGTGACGACGAAGCAGCATCAGAGGAGGGTGGTGCAGCTGCTGGGCCTACGGAGGGTGCAGACGGTGCCATCTGTGGGTTTTGCTTCGCGTGCTTCCCATCGCTCTCTGCCTTGGAGCAGCACACGCAGCAGCAGCACCGGTCCGTGGCCTGCCCCCACTGCAGCAAGCGCATCTCGTTTGCCCGCTTCAAGCGCCACCTCAAGGAGCACGCCTTGGGCACAAGCTCCACCCACCCCTGCCAGGTGGATGGGTGCGGAAAGACATTCAGCTCGGTGAGTCTCGCGTTGTTGTGCATTGTGGTACGGCTTGTACTGCTCTGTGCCCTGCCCCTAATGCAGCAAGCGCATCTCCTTTGCCTGCTTCAAGTGCCGCCTCAAGGAGGCAAGACCTTCTCCTGGGTGAGTCCCCCGCTCTGCTGCCGAGAGCACATTTCCTTCCCCCAATGTTCAACCGCCAACTCAAGGGGCCCGCCTTGGAGACAATCTCCTCCCACCCCAGCCAGGTGGACGGGTGCGGCACGGCAAGTCCTTCTCCTCTGTGAGTGCTTCTCCTCTGGTGGTGGTGGTGTTGCATGTGGCATGGGGCATATGGCATATGGCATGTGGCATATGGCATGTGGCTTGTGGCATATGGCATGTGGCAAGCGCATCTCCTTCCCTCGCTTCAAGCGCCACCTCGAGGAGACAAGTGCATCTCCTTGGAGTCAGGCTCTCGTCGCTGCCACTCTTCTCCTCTCCCCCTCTTCATTTCTCGCCCACCTTTTCCCCCTTCCCCCTCCTCCTCCTTCCAGCCCAGCAACCTCAAGACACACATCAAGGCATGCCACCACCACGACCGCCCCTTTGCCTGCTCCTTCCCCGGCTGCGCCCAGCGCTTTGCGTACAAAGTGAACCTCCAGCGCCACCTCGCCACCGTGCACATGCGCAGCCCTGCAGAGGTGAGCACCAGTGGGTGTGGTGCGGTGCATGTGGTCCTGAGTGCGGTGCACATGGTTCCTGTGCAGCACTCCCAGGGCTTTGCGTACAAAGTGAACCTCCAACGCATTTTGCGACGAAGCACATGCGCAGCCCTGCAGAGGTGAGCGTGGCATTTGAGCTTAGCAGTGCCTGTATGGTGACTACTGCACAGCACACATAGTGTGCTTCGTGTGCTGGCGATGCACAAGAGACAGAGCCTCACAGGGCGACCTTCCTTCTCTCTCTCTCCCTCGCTCCCTCCTTCCCTCTCCATCTCTCCATCTCTCCATCTCCCTCTTTCCCTCTTGTCCCCTCTCCGTCTCTCTATCGCTCACTGCGCAGAATGTGGTGGAGCGGGATGAGGCGATGCATAAGAAACAGAGCCTCACAGGGCGACCTTCCTTTTTCTTATTCTCTATCTCCGTCTCGCTCCTCCCTTTCCTTATCGTCCCCTCTCCATATCTTTCTACGCAGAATGTGGTGGAGCGGGACGAGGCAATGCACAAGAGACAGAGCCTCACAGGGCGACCTTCCTTTTCTGACGCAGCAGCTTTTGTTAGCGATACACTAGGTGCTGGAACCAGCTCTGCCGATGCCCTCGCGGATACAGATGATAAATAGTGTACTGTTAATGTATACTCTGTTAGTGGTGTTCTGCGTATCATGTTATTGGTCCTCTATCTGCATGCCATGCAAGGACATCACACACAGAGGGAGACGAGCAAGGATCCTCCTTATGTCGGGTGCTGCTGGTATGCTCTGCTCTTAGAACGCTTTCAATAACGTTTCCCCAATTGACATAACAAGATCACAGTCGACCCGGGACAGGAATTTCCAGGTGCGAGATGGAAGGGTGGTGGTAGTCGGGTTGGTGTAACGTTGGAATCCATGCTCGCAGACTAGCCGATTTCAATGTATTCAAGCCATGATGCTAAATAATTATTGCACTGCTCCAAGATCACAGGCTAACCCCACGAACCATAGCCCGTGGGTCCAGACAGATTATGTCAAAGGTTTGCACTCCTTCCACTAAATGCTACTTTTGGCCATGAAAGTTGGGAGCATCACGTTGTATAGGTGTTGAGATTCTAGTTGTAACTAGAAGCAAAGTGCATACTCGATATGACTGAAACATGCATCATATCGCATATTGGCGGCATCACGCATCCACCGCATGTGCTGCAGTGCAGTCCTTGCACTTGATTCACCTTGGCTGATTCACCACGTGAGCGATGCTGTGCACAATTCCCTGATCCCATGCAGAAATTGCTTCAATGTGCAAACCGAGATTCGGAAATCGAGAAAATTTACGACTCCCCAGCCCAGCCGCACGGATCCCCACCACCTCACTCCTGCCTGCCTGCCAGCCACCGGTCAAACCTTGAGAGTTCCAGCTTTCCCATATGAATCCTGGGAGTGCACTCCTCCCCTCCACAGCCTCAAAGCAGGAGGAATATTCAAGGGCAGCTGTAACAGCACCATGCCTGTTGCCTGCGATCTCGATCAGGTTTCCCCTGCCCAAACAAAAGCGCCATCCCCCGCCCGCATCTCACCATCCACCCCTCTCCCCATTGACCGCGGAAATAAAAACCCCCGCCAGCGCTCGGCGCATCCATCCCTTCCCCCAACCACCACTCTCAGTCCGAACAGTCACTCTCCCTCCATCACTCATTTTGCCACCCTAAAGGCCTGTACGCACGACAGCACGATCGAACGTACAGGCCTCAATTCTTGCGAGGTCATGAGCGGTGTCACACTCTGACCTGTTTTCAAGGCCTGGGCAAGCAAATTCCAGCTCCATCTGTTTGGTAACCCGTTGGGCGGGGAAGGCGACATAATTCCAGTTCATCGTATGGATACGTTAACACCTAGCACAGTAGCCTTGGAAATTCGTTGTTTCCAACAGACCCTAGGTATCACCATTGGCCTTTCTTTCCCTCCACTCCACCGTCCAGTCACCCTTCGAGGGACTCAAGAGGCGGAAGTTTTCGAGGAGCTTCCTCAGGGAGCTTCGAGCAGCAGCAACAGCTCGAGAGGCGTCAGTATATCAGCTGGGACTGCCATGGTAGGTTGTTTTTTCCTCCGATCTCCTCTAAGATGGTGATGGAGGTTAGAGTGTTGCGAGACGAGGCCGACTTTTTCCAGGCATACATGTCTGATATGTCCGCTTCAGTAGACGTGAACGCTTACCTTGTGGCGCCTAGGAAGCAAGTACGTCTTCTGGCTGCTTACTTACGCAGTTTCCCGCGAGTTCTAAGTTGCATGCTTTAGAATGATCGCATGTCTTGTGTTACATGTTTGTTTGTTAATCGCATAATACAATAGTTCGTTGAAGTCCGTCTGACAATATTTCAGAATGTTCGTCTGCTATTTTTCCTGTTGTTCTGTGCCCGGAGTCCAGTTCTAACGATGTATCTAATGCATCCATATTCCCTCTCAAACCTTCCCTTGTGCAGGTGAATTTATCACCTGGTCAAGTTAACGCGCTCATCTGGTGTCTTCTCCTCGCTTTCACGGGCTGGCTGCTTCACTGGCTGTTCGCGTACGTCACTCTATGGCGGCGGGGAAACCGATTTCCCGGTCCCAAAGGCCACCTCTTTTGGGGAAACACGGCAGAGCTCTTGGGAGCGGGAAGCGTGACAGGTACGCCTTAGCAACCGTGACACCTACATGTTCCGTCGTTTCTCTCGCCGTTCTCGAGCGATATGCGGTTTTACAGTTTTTGTTTTTACAGTAGTTGTGTATTGCCCCACACCTCATATTCTAATTTTGTTTCTCCTTATATTTCAGACCTCATTGGAAGGCTGCACTCGGACTACGGTCCCGTTGTAAGGCTCTGGATGAGCCCGACGAAGCTGCTTATATCGGTTCGGGACCCCGCGCAGGTCCGCAACGTCCTGATGCGGGCGCTTGAGCGACCCCCCGCCTTCAGCCAAATTATGGCTCGCTGCTTCGGAGCGGAGTCCACGCGTTTTTCTTCCTTCATGCAGCCGCGGGCTCGCAGGTCCTTCTTAGATTACCACTGCCATACCACCCTCAAATTCCAGGTCCATGAGGTGACGTCTACCGTCGTTCACATGACGTCACGCCACTGGACGTCTGTTGCCGGGTCTGGCGGGGAAATTGACGTTGGTAGTGTGGCTAGGGATATGGTGGTGGGTGTACTCGGCGGTTCGTTATTTGGAAGCGGATTCCCTATGTCGAGGATACACGCTCGCTTGCAGGGTCTTTTGGAGAAGGTAGCGGCAGGCGCGCAGAAGTTTTCGCGGTTCCCGGTTGAACCGTTTTGGCTGCCGTCTTATTGGCAGTTTTCCCGCGTTTGCGAAGAGTTTCGCGAAGTTATGCGAAGGCTGATGGCAGGCGAATGCGAGGACGTCACATGCGGGTTACCCGACGGTGGTGTTGGCAATTTCAGCAGCGGAGGCCAAAACATGGGGAATTTGGAATGCGAAGGGGAAAGAGCCGAACAGGGTCCCGTTGCCGCCGCCGTCGGCGCTGCTGCTGCTGCTAGTGCTGGTTTCGTTTCCGATGTCAACATTGGTCGTGGTACTGTTGATGCTGCTGCTACTGCCGCTGCTGCTGGTGGGATTTCACCCAGGGGCCGAGTCAGGCCACAGGAAGCACCCCACGAGGGTTTTCTCTCAGCCATGCTGTCGGAACGGTCCCGTTATGGTCGACCTCTTTATAACGAGGCGACAGCGTTGGCCGAAGCTGCTTCTCTCATGCTCCACGGCCACCTCTCGGTTCCTGGGCTTTTGGAGCGAGTGCTAGTCGCGCTCGCCGCACACCCCGATATACAGGACAAAGTTGTACAGGAAATCCGCGCTGTAGCGAAAGGCGGGTCGCCTACTGACGAGGATCTGCAGGAGCTGGCTTATTTGAACGCGGTGATATACGAGACGGCTCGTGTCATGCCGTGCCAGCCGCTAGTCACCAGGTGCGCGCTCTCAGGGAATATACGTCTGCCGGTGTCTCCATCACCTCCGAAAGGCGGCAGCAGCAGGGGTGGAGCGTCGTTTCATGCTTCGGGGGGGGGCATAGGGGGGATGCACGGCAGTGGGGACGACGATGGGGAGAACGCGCGGTTTCTTTTGGTGCCTCCTGGCACCGTTTTGGCGCTCCCCATGCACCTGCTGCAAATGGACCCCTCCTACTGGGGCGACGACGCTGCGGAATTCCGCCCCGAACGATTCATCCGCTTCAGGAAGCAGCAAGACTCCCCAGTGCAAGGCGGTGGTGCTCAGAGGAACGAGGCAGGGAAGGAAGACAGGGAAGAGAAGGAAGGGAAGGAAGGGAAGGAAGAGACGGAAGGGAAGGAAGCCAAGGAGGGGGAGCAGTGGAGGGAGGGGTTGCTTCCTGGGCGGGACTATGAGTGTGTGGCTCCGGAGCAGGGGGCACACTTCCTCATGTTTGGCGGCGGGCCGCGGTCATGTGTGGGGCAGCGCTTCTCCCTGAAGATCGTGCGCGCGATTGTGGCGCTGCTGCTGCACCAGTTTGAGGTCAGTTGGCTAAACCGTGTGTGTGTTCCTTTCTACGTGACCCTGCCATGTTCAACATGCACCCTGCGACTGCTGCGCCATGTGTGTTCCTGCCATCTGTTACCCTGCCATCTGTTACCATGCCATCTGTTACCTGCTATGTGTCATATCACCCCCTCATATTCGCCACCCCCTTGTCTCTTGCCACTGCCCCATATTCACATGTTTGCTGCTTTCTAATCAACAGTCTTTTCCGACGCACGTCTTCCCCTCTTGCAGGTCTCCCTGTCGCTCGACATGCCGCATGCCTTCGCCTCTCAGCTGCACAACCTGGCGCTCCACCTCTCTCCCTCCCCTAGAATCCGCATCACCATGCGCAAGCCCGTCCCTTCGCTGGACGCGTGCCACGCAACTGCGCCTGCTGCTGATGATGATCTGACCGCAAGTTTTTAGCCGTGGTGTGAGTAGAACCCACTGCTGATGACGACCTGACCGCAAGTTTTTAGCCGCAGCATGCTCACCGCATGCCAAGGTTTTCTAGTGCCCCATATCCTGCTCTCAGCTTATTTTTCTGGGGCTTTTCCCTTGGATTCTCCCTTTTCTAGGCTGGTCATTCAGCCTGGGCTCGCTCGATCTGTGTGTTCCCTTTCCTTTTTCCTCCATTGGGAGTGTGGTTATTGTGCTTGGTCTTCTGCTGACCAGCTTTTTTATGTACTTTTCACAGCCTGGTTATGTGAATTTGGAATTCGTCTGAAAGATGCAATGTAAGCCATGTGTTTTGGAGTGCAATAGAATTAGAAGCTGTCATGTATTACCACAAATCACTCATGAGTGCTCAATTCTGCTTAACGTTGCTGAGGTGCCACAATGTAAGGAATTTCCATTCCTTACTGAGTCTTACGCTAGCGCGTACACCCGAACTCCTCGACATGTCACGTTCGGCCTCAATTGTCAGCCCAATCCTTTCCTGAGTCGCGTCAAGCATTGTCGCCACATTGTCGAACCTACCCACGTTCTGAGGTTACCGTATTGCCCTAGCACGCCAACTGTCAAACATACTAACATATATTGTATGTTACAGTAGACTATATAGGGTTGTGCCTGTTAAAATTATATATTGTGTTATATAATTGTTAGGCTTGGTAACTTACTGAACTTTACTGTAGAGGGTACAACACCCCTCCTTGTATCCCTCTCTCTTCTATTCCCAACCCCTTTTCTCTCCTCAACTTTTCTCCTTCCTAAACCTCACGTCACTCCATGGCTCCTCCTAGCTAAACCTCATGCCTTTCCTAGCTTCCTAGCTAAGCTAGCCTTCTAACATGGTATCATAGCAGTTCGTTCCTTGTGGGCCTGCTCCTCATGTTTCCGCTGCGGTCTTGTTTCTCTCTCTCTCTCTCTCTCTCTCTCTCTCTCTCTCTCTCTCTCTCTCTCTCTCTCTCTCTCTCTCTCTCTCTCGCTCTCTCTCTCTCTCTCTCTCTCTCTCTCTCTCTCTCTCTCTCTCTCTCTCTCTCTCTCTCTCTCTCTCTCTCTCTCTCTCTCTCTCTCTCTCTCTCTCTCTCTCGCGCGCGTCCATGGCGCCCGCGTCCAGCTGCTGTGGCCGCGTCGTCGCGCCGCGGCTTCGTCGTTGCGTCACGCTGCTGTGGCAACGTGACAGCGCCGTCACGCTGCCGCGGCGTCTACGCGGCAGCGCGCAGTCGGCGTGACGGCGCCGTCGTGCTGCCGTCGCAGAGTCGACGTTCTGCTGCGGCATCGACGCCGCTCTGTGACGGCGTCGTCGGGCTGCAGCCGGCCGTGCGATGCCTGTGGCGCCGCTAGACCGGCCGCCCGCATGTCAGCCTGTGGCGCCCCCCCCCCCCCCCCTCCTTCCCCTGTGTCCTCTTCCTTTCCGCAGACGACGGCTGACTCCCGCCGGCCGTCCCACCGTCGCGGGTCCTGGCCACGTCACCTAGAGGTGCGGGCGCCGCCGCCGCCGCTGTTGTCGAAGCCGCCGCCGCCGCCGCTGTCGCCGCTTGCGTCGGGGCCACGCAGCCGCACGCCGCCGCCGCCGCCGCTGTCGACACTGTCGCCGCTGCCGCCGTCGCCGCCGCAGCCCCTGCGGTCGACGTCGCCGCCTCACGCGCCGTGGGGTCGACCGACCTAGTGTCGCTGTCACTGTGGCTGGAATGGGGGTGCTAGGTTAGGGGGTGTGGGTGTGTGTGGGCATGTGACTACCAAGCCTAGGGGGTGTGTTAAAATTATATATTGTGTTATATAATTGTTAGGCTTGGTAACTTACTGAACTTTACTGTAGAGGGTACAACACTCCTCCTTGTATCCCTCTCTCTTCTATTCCCAACCCCTTTTCTCTCCTCAACTTTTCTCCTTCCTAAACCTCAAGCCACTCCATGGCTCCTCCTAGCTAAACCTCATGCCTTTCCTAGCTTCCTAGCTAAGCTAGCCTTCTAACAGTGCCTTAGGTAGTACAACCCATTAGGCTACATACCCCTGTATGTCCTGTTCTACCGTAAAAGCCCGGATAGAAGACCCCCTAGTAATAGAAGACCCAGGGTCTTGTATTAGGCGTCTATCTTGTATTCGGAATTCCCGTTTATAAGACACCCTCAAGGCGGTATGAGATAAGACCCTCCCTTCTTTAGTATTTTTTATTCCCGCAAAGCAAGAACTGGGTCTCGCACAAACGAGTATTATTAACTGAGACGATGAACGGTTGGGATTAAGCCTGAGCGGGGTGTTGTTGAAGGCATTCGCATCTTCATCACACGTGTTTTACCGTCACGATTGACTTCCGCAAAATTTCCCCATTCCGCTGAATTCTCGTTATCAGATGACTCGATATGTTTGGTTCACCTCTCGGGCCGTTTTCCGGTGAACTTATGAGGGTTCCGTTTATAAGACACTCAAATGCCCCATTTTTTTCCGTTTATAAGATAAAATGCAGTTTTGAACGGTGTTAGGTGATAAGGCCCATAGGTCTTATACCCGGGCTTTTACGGTAGTTAACTTTTCTCGCTTAAACATGGTATCATGAGTAGGTAGGTCCACCCCCCCCCCCTCTCCCCCCTAGCCCATTCCGCCTAGTCGGCCCCGTCGGCCCCGCCCCCTAGCTGGCCCTGCCGCCCCATCGGCCCTGTCGGCTCCGCCTCCTAGCTGGCCCCGCCGCCTCGTCGGCCCCGACGGCCCCGCCTCCTAGCTGGCCCCGCCGCCTCATCGGCCCCGTCGGCCCCGCCTCCTCGCAGGCCCCGCCGCCCATAGCCGACCCCAACGCCTAGCCGGCCCCGTCCCCGTCCACATCGACGGTACGCTCCTCTAAACCAGGTCCCCTGGTGACGCGTCTGCGTTCCACGTCTGGGGCTGCCTCGCTCACGTTCGTGCCTCTGGCACGGACAAGCTCACTACCCGCACTGTCCCCTGTGTCTTCCTAGGTTTCCCCCTCGACTCGTCGGACTGGCAGTTCTACCACCCCCCTTCTCACCGGTTCTTTCACTCTCGTGACGGCACTTTTGACGAGTCCGTCTCCTTCTACCACCGCTCTCCCCAGCGTGGTCCCCCGAACACTCCCCCCCAGTTCCTGGTGCCCCCCCCTCCCCCGGTCGACCCTGTCCACCCCCCTCCCCGCCTTGCCACGTCTGGTGTGTCTCACGTCACCCCCCTCCCGTCGGTTGTCCTGCTGAGGAGTCTGCTGACTCTCGTGGCTAGGCGGAGACTCTTCCCCCGCCTGTCCCTGCCCCGGTCTCGCCTCCCCTATCACCGCAGCTGCTGTCCCCGCCACAGCCGCCTCCACCGCTGCCGCCGTCGTCACTGCCGCTGGGGTTCGTGCGTTCTGGGGGTGCTGGGGAGCAGGCTGGAGCTGGTTCTGGAGCGGGCTCTGGGGGTGCTAGAGTGGGGCCTCTCGGAGGGAGCCGTGTTGTCGCCGGAGGTTCTGGTGTTGGAGTCGGGCAGCAATCGCAGCTGTCACCGCCGGTGTCCGCTCTTTGCCTCCTCGGTCTCCCTTCCCCTGACCACCCGTCGCTGCCTTCCCCACCTCCTCCTCTGCCGGTCCACGGCCCCGTGTTTCCCACCCCCGACTCCTCTCCGGCTCGTTTCCCTCCCCATTCTCCTCATGTGTCTCCTCCCCTCTCTCCTGACCCGACTCCTCCGTCTCACGTCTGGTCTCGTCGTCCGTCTCGTGCTCGTCCTACCTCCCATTTTCCGCGTTCTCACCCTATGTTGCTTCGCTCTCACGCGTCTCGTGCTCCTCTTCTCCTTCCGTCTCCTCCTCCGTCGTCGCTTGCTGTGGCCCCGCCTCCGTTCTCGGACTTCCTCCGTGCTGCGCGTCCCCTTGTTCCTCGTGTCCTTGCCTCTCTTGTTACAGACCCGTCCGTTCCTGTCTCAAGTCTGTCGGCTCTTGTCGCTGCTGTCACTGACTTCACCGCTACCCGCCGCCGAGACTATGCCAGCGCTCTGGTCTCTGGCCCTACCTGCCCTCCGGTCGTTGGGGGTGTGGCTGCTCTTGGCAGTGACGTCCTAGAGGACAGGCAGTACGAGCTCGCTTTCCTGTCTGAGGCCGCTCCCCATCTCTGTTCCATGTTACTAGTCCCTGAGGGTGATCCAGACGCCCTCGACATCCCGGCGCCTTGCACCTACGCTGAGGCCACTTCGGGACCCTAGGCCTCTCAGTGGATAGCTGCCATGAAGCAAGAGATGTTATTTTGGAGATCCACCGGAACCTTTGTCGACACAGTTCCCCCACCTGGGGTGAACGTAATCGATGGCCGGTGGATCTTCAAGGTGAAGTGCCCTCCTAGAGAGCCGCCCGTCTTCAAGACGCGCTACGTCGCTCGAGGCTTCAGTCAGTGCGAGGGGGTGGACTTCTTTCAGACCTTCGCCCCGACCCCGAAGATGACTACTCTTCGGGCACTGCTATACATAGCAGCACAGCGTGACTACGAGCTGCACTCCCTCGACTTCTCCACAGCGTTCCTCCAGGGCAGTCTACACGAGCAGGTCTACCTGCGCTGCCCCTAGGGCTTCTCCGGTACCTTCCCCCCTGGCATCAAGTGGCTCCTCCGGCGCCCAGTCTACGGCTTGCGACAGGCGCCCCGTGAGTGGCAAGACAGGTGCCTCGCCATGAAGGCCGAGCTGCTGAGGAGACACACCTGCACTGACCTAGGAGAGCTGTGCCGCTACCTTGGCTTGCAGATCTCCAGGGACAGAGTAGCGTGCACCATCACTCTCTCACAGTCACACTTGGTGCGCCAGGTCCTTCAGAGGTTCGGCCTTCAGTTCTCTTCCGCACAGCCCACCCCTCTGCCAGTAGACCACAGACTCTCTGCCCCTGTCCCTGAGGAGGCTGTAGAGCCCAGTGGTCCCTATGCAGAGCTGGTGGGTTGCCTCATGTACCTGACTTGCACTCGTCCAGATCTCGCATACCCTCTCAGCATCCTGGCTCGCTTTGTGGCCCCAAGCAGACACCGACCACAGCACTTGTCGGCCGCTAAGAGGGTTTTGCGTTATCTAGCGAGTACATTGGGCATGGGGCTAGTGCTAGGAGGACGGAGACCAGTGGTCCTTACCGGGCACACAGACGCTTCTTGGGCAGACGACGCTGAGACTCTCAGGTTCTCACAGGGCTACTGCTTTAGCCTTGGTGCAGGTGCCATCTCGTGGAGGTCCACCCGCTCCTCGTCTGTTGCCCAGTCTAGCTGTGAGGCTGAGATCTACGCTGGTGCCATGGCGGCACAGGAGCTCCGCTGGCTGACCTTCTTGCTCACCGACTTGGGTGAGCGGCCTAGCTCTGCCCCGGTTCTGTACGTTGACAACAGGGCCATGATCCTCCTGTGTCAGGAGCCACGCCTTGAGGGCAGAGCGAAGCACATCCAGCTGCGGTACTTCCTCATGCGCGAGCTGCAGCAGCGTCGCCAGGCTCGTGTAGTACACTTGGCCTCCGGAGCCAACACGGCTGATATCTTTACTAAGGCACTTGCGCCTAAAATCATCAGCGGCACTGTGCACAGCTAGGTCTTTTCCCTGTAGCCTCTCACTTGCTAGGACCTTGATTGTGTATAGACCTTTATATATATTACCCAGACTGGCCTTGTGGCCTCTTCCTTGTGGTTGGACTAGTAGTGCCACCCTGGTCTTGCTCTTGCCTTTTCTGTACTTGTTTGATTGGTCTTTAGACCCCTGCCTTAGAGGCTGGACTAGTAGTGCCACCCTGAGTTGTTTCTCTCTCATCAAGCATTGCCCCTATCCAGCCTAGGGGGTGTGTCAAACATACAAATATATATTGTATGTTATAGTAGACTATATAGGGTTGTGCCTTAGGAAGTACAACCCATTAGGCTATATACCCCTGTATGTCTTGTTCCAGTTAACTTTTCTCACTTTAACACCAACCCCTATATAACCTCGTGCCTTCATTGCAACAGCGACCTTGTATTCTCACATTACAGTTCATTGAAACTTCCTATATCATAACAGCTGGTATTAGAGCCCGAACTTTCAGGAACCTTCCGTTTCCCGTTTACTTAGTCAAAGGTGGTCAGAGGGGATTAGCACGGCTACACAGCACTTGTCTTGGATCGTAAATATTTTTACGTCAACAACTACAGCATGTGCTCTAGCTCCTGCCCCATCCTGACCGCCATGGCCCCGGTAGACTCGACGGTTGAGGGACAATCCACCTCGACTGCTGCGAACCCTGCCCGGGAAACTGTGGACATGCAAGCATTAATGGAGCAGTTGAATAATTCGACATGCGTCGTCAATGACCTCCACGACGAGAACCAGTGACTCCGCCAGGGGTAGGAGAGGCGCCCAGAGGAGCCGGGGGACGATGCACGAAGCGAGGCGGGTGAGCAGCAACAGTCACCAGTGGAGCTGGCATGACTAGCGGCAACAGTCCTGTGCTCGACAAGTGGCGGCGTAAGATATCATCAACCCGCTCCTTTCGACCCAGCTAATAAAGGCGTGACAGTGCGGTAGTGGATATTCGCCAAGAATATATATTTTAACGTGGCGGGCATAAGAGACGATCAGAAGCGGATCACCCACGTGTTAACACTGTTGTAAGGGGCCGCCCTACAGTGGTGGAAGGTCATCGTCAACTCAGTGGCAACTCGCACAAAAGGACAGGACGAGTGGTCCGAAGAATTTGGCAAAGAAGACGAGGCAGAACTGTTGTTCGGAGCGACCCACATTCGCACGTGGGCAACGTGGTGCGTAGAGCTTCGCAAGCGGTTTGAGCATGCTCCTAACTCAGACAAGGCACGCGAAACTCTACGCATATGGAAGCAGCTCGGATCTGTGTCGGAGTACACCGCGTCATTCCTGATGTTGGTGGACAGATGTGGCTACATGTACGAGTTGGAGAAGGTCGACAAGTACATGGGCGGCTTGAAGCCAGAAATATAGTACCGTATAAATCTGCAACGCCCCGCGACGCGGTTACAAGACTACATTTAGCTCGCCGAAGCCGCGGATTCGATCACGAAGCCAAGGATGAACTTCGACGATGGAGGTCGCCCTCGCGAATAGTACCAGCACACCACGATAAAAGGGGTGGACGCAGTGGACATTTACGCAGTTTTTCTCCGAAATATGGGGCTATGCTTCCACTGTGGCTGGCCGGGTCACATCCGACGCAACTGCCAAGAATTCATAGCCCTCCAGAGTTCTATAAGGAAGAAGCCGGAGGAGCGACCGGGAAATGGGTCGCGTCAGTAAGTACTGTGCCCCTTACTGACAGGCAGGCTTCTTCGCCCGAGCCACACAGTCCCCACCGGATCGTGATCCCGATTGCTGCAATCGACCGGACCCGGACGAATAAGGGGGAAAATGCTGATCACCCTGTGTTGGTGGAGGGTAAAATCAACGGAGTGTTATTGAAGATTTTCGTTAATGGAGGCACAAGTCACAGTCTCATACAATTGGACAAGGCTAAGAAATTGGGTATCCCCTTACTCAAGTGTCTACCTAAAATCGACGCTCGTCTGGTGGACGGAACACCGATGGCAATACAAGAAAGAGTGGAGAAAGTCGGCTTTACCTGTGGGGAGCATGTCAAATTTCGGATGGGACTACTTGCGACTACTCTCGATGGATGCGACGTGCTGCTGGGACGTGATTGGTTGCGATGGTATAACCTAAAGATTGACTGGATGACGGGCGGCTGCAGCATCAAGCTCGATGGAACTTCCCGAGAGCTGCCCAAGTGGATAGAGCCTCGCATGCGAAGCACCCAAGTCCATGCGATCACTTTCAAGCGCGCGTTGAAAGCAGGAGCTGCAGCGTACGCCGTTGATCTTCGCAAGGTGACATCAATGGTCGCGACCGAAGATATCGAGAAGCTGTGCAAGGCCGTTCCCCCAGACTTAGCGGACCTGATTCGGAAATACCCAAAGATTTTCCCGGACGACCTGCCAGCTGGACTCCCGCCGAGCCGACCTGAGGACCACCGAATTGAGTTGGAACAAGGCGCCCAACCGACATTATAGCGCCAATTTCGGCTCAGCCAATTGGAACTGGAAGAATTACAGCAGCACCTGGATTACCTTCTGGCGAAGGGATTTATTCGGCCCAGCACGTCACCATACGCCGCCCCTATACTGTTCACGCCAAAGAAGGATGGCGGATTCATCATGTGTATCGACTACCGCGTGCTCAACAGGATCACCATCAAGTCGCGTTACCCAATCCCGTGAGCCGAAAAACTTCTCGACCAACTTTGCGGCGCCCAAGTTCTTTTCAAAAATCGACTTGCGAGGAGGTTACCATCAGATTCGCGTCACAAGACGGCATTCCGCACCCGCTACGGCAGCTATGAGTACCTGGTGATGCCTTTTGGCCTTACGAACGCGCCCTCGACCTTCCAAATGACCATGAATGTAATTTTCAGGGAACTCTTGGACAAATGCGTCATCATTTACCTCGACGATATACTAATCTACAGCCGCAGCAAGGAACAGCACTTACTGGATCCTGATGCATCAAGACCATACAGTGGTGGAAGCCGCCAAGCAATATAAAGGAGCTGCAGAGTTTTTTGGGTTTCGTCAACTACATCCGCCGGTTCATCCCGAATATGGCTGGGTTATCTTCCCCGCTAACTGACCAACTCAAGGATCACGATTGTTTTTTGTGGGGAGAAAAGCAGCAAGCTACATTCGAGCAACTGAAGATCGCCCTCACGTCGCCACCCGTCCTTTGCATCTCCGATCCTGACCGTCCATACAAATTCATCATCGGCGCCAGCGACATCGCCATCGGTGCAGTTCTCCTACAAGATTTCGGCGACGGGTTACAGCCGGTCGCCTACGAATCACGGAAGCTGCAGGGCGCGGAAAAAAAACTATACGGTACACGACAAGGAAATGTTGGCGATCGTCCATGCGTTCTAGACTTGGCGGTGCTACCTCACAGGCGCTGACGTCAATGTGCGGACCGACCACAAGTCCCTCCAGTACTTGCGAGCCTAGCCGAATCTCAACGCGTGACAGATCCGATGGCTTGATTTCCTCGAGTCAAATTTCCACTACACCATTACCTACAAACGGGGTGCCAACAACATTGCTGATGCCCTGACCCGACCCACTGCCCATACAACCGCCATACTAGTTGCCCAGACCTGCCCACTTCTTACCGAACTATTTACCCACGGCTACAAGATCGACCCATTCTTTCGCTCCGCCATTTACCAACAGCATACCACCGCTCTCGGACACTATTTTAATAAGCGCGACACTTCCCGCAGCTGGGTTCCCGGCTACGATTTGCTTCGTACCCTTCTTATCCAAGAATCCCACGACAACCCTACCTCCGAGTCGACAAAGCCATGAAGACTTTGCAACGTTATTATTACTGGCCGAACATGGCCAACGACGTGCGCAAGTACGTGTCCTCCTGCACCGCCTGCCAGATCATGAAATCATCTCATCAGTTAGCCGCCGGACTCCTACAACCGGACTCCTACAGTCGGACTCCTACAGCCGAAATCACCCCCAGAACGCACGAACCCAAGCGGCGGTGACGACGGTGGCTGCGGCCGCGGCGGCGACGGCAGCGGCGGTGACAGCAACGACGGCAACGGGGGGGAAGAGACCGGGGCGAGGAGGGGCGGGGGGAGGAACTCTGCAGAGCCGCGAGAGTCAGCAGACTCCTCGGCAGGGACACCCGATGGGAGAGGGGTGATGTGAGACACTCCAGACCGGGCAAGGAGGGGAGGGGGGAGAGCTGGGGCAACCTGGGGAGGGGGAACCAGGATTAGGGGGGGGGTAGCCGGGGGACCGCGGTGGGGAAAGCGGTGGTAAAAGGAGACGGACTCGTCAAAGGTGACGTCGCGGGAGTGAAAGAAGCGGTGAGACGGCGGGTGGTAGAAGTGCCAGTCAGACGAGTTGAGGGGGAAACCAAGGAAGACACAGGGGACGGTGCGGGCAGTGAGCTTGTCCGTGCCAGAGGCATGAACGTGAGTGAGGCAGCCCCACACGTGGAACGCAGACGCGTCTCCAGGGGACCCGGTCCAGAGGAGGGTCGACGAAACCTGCGGCTGCTGAGGGTGCGGCCACATGCTAAGCTGGTGAGTGGCGTAGTGAACAGCGAATGGCCACAGAAAATGGGTTGCACTGGCATGGATAATGGAGGTACGAGCCACCTCCATGACCAAACCGATGCGTCACTCAGCGACCCCAATCCGCTGCGGGGAGTCCAGCAGGGTGTACGTCTGGGTGATGCCCTCTGCACGACAGAAGCGACCAAGGCAGCCAGAGGTGAACTCGTCACCACGGTCGGAGTGAAGACGCTACACAGGGAGACCTCGGTGAACACGCGCAGAGACAAACCACGGGATAAGAACGTCAGGCTCGTCCGCCTTCCACTCTAGGGGAAACACCGTGGTGTAGCGCGTGTAGTCGTCAACAAGCACGAGGAAAAAGCGCTCTCGACACGGCCCATGGACGGGGGCGGAGCCCCAGGCGTCCATGTGCAGGGTCTGCAGCGGTACGGCGGTGGGGGGGAACAAGGAGGATTGAGGGGCACGGCGAAGCCGGCCCTCAATGGAAGGCATGCACGGTGGCGCCTGTGAGGAGGGTAGCTCGGGGAATGACTCAGAGAGACCTAAGAAAAGACCGTGCTGAGACATGTGACGAAGATGTGACCTAGACGGTGGTGCCACAGAATTGTCGGTCCGACACTTGACCGACACGAGCAAGCCGCAGCAACCTGGGTAGACGCAGACAACTGGGGAGGCGTCCCAACCGGGAAGGACACGGTGTCCAGCATGAACAGGCCAGACACCGGGTCCCGGGGGAATGTGGTGAGGGGAGCACCAGTGGCGGCCTCGGTACAGACAGCGTACTGCTCGTGACTAGGGAATGTAGTGGTGACGCTAAGGTCTTGGAGGCAGCCGACACCAACTAGGTTCTTAGTGAACGAGGGGATGTGCAGGCCTGTAAGGGAGCCCAAAGAAACCGCCGGATAGGGAAGGGTGGTGGAGCTACGGGCGACTACAGGACCTGAGGAAGGGTCTGCAAGGGCAACTGCAGCGGGAGCGACAAATGGCATAAGCGCAGTGGAGTCCCGAAAGAAACACTGGGAAGCGCCGGAGTCAAGGGTGAAGGAGAGCGCGGCAGTGGCGGCAGGGGTCGGAGGAGCGAGGATGGAGCCAAGGCTAAACAAAGCAAGGGATCCTACGCCTGCCGCAGCAAGGGAGCCTGAAATAGGCACACCTACACTAGGCAACAAGGGGTAATAGGAACCAGTCACACTAGAGTCATCGACATACAGCACATACAAAGCATAGCTAATCTCGTCCATGTCCAAATCAAATATCATAACACCACGGTGGAGCAGACTGTGCCAGTCGGGGAGGTCTGGCGCCGGGCCGAAGCGGAGACGAAACAAATCATTTAGGCGACTGAAACAACGAGTGGGGGTATGGCCAATCTTACCGCACACTAGGCCGCGGCGAGGACCTGTTTGGAGCTGGTACTGGCAGCGCCCATCACTCGGACCACCACCCAACGTCACACTGCGCACACGACCACTGCGACCACCTCCACCACCGGCGCTAGGCCACCCGGGCGGGAGACGACCGACCTGCCGCTGCTGCTGCTGCGGCTGCTAGTGCTGCTGCTACTGCTGGTCCAGCTACGGCGCTTGTTGCTGCTGCTGCTGCTGCTGGGGCTGCTGCTCCGAGGTACCAGCCCCAGTCCCCTCGTCAGTACTACCAGCGGGCGAACAACCTCCACCACCGCCTCCACCCCCTCTTCCACTACCTCCGCCGCGCCCAGCCTTGGGGCGGCGACCCTTACCCGGACGAAACTGCGCTGCGGCAGCCGTGGCGGCTGTCTCCGCATCAGGGGCTGTCTCAGCGACAGCAGCAGAACTGCCAGAGTAAATGCACTGCGCAGGGGCACAACCCTGAAAGATAGTGACCGGCACCGTACCACTAGACTGGGCGATAGAGCGCTGACGAGTCTCTATGGCAGACAGGGTGTCGACAAAGTCAGTGAGGGTGAGGCCAGCAGGGTGGAGACTAAGAAAGTGATCGCGGCTAGTAGCAAGGCGGTCAGGGAGGCGGGTGGGAAGCAGGTAGAGGGTAGAGCAAATGGGGGGCTGAAACACACGAAGCTGGGCCTCAGTGCAGGCATCACGCCAGGTCGCGTCTAACGTGCACAAGTGGGCGGCCAGGTCAACAACACTGGAGAAAGTGCATGGGCAGGATCAGGCGACCGACGGAGGCAGAGGGCGGGGTGGAATAGCGCGCGACAACAGCCTCTAGGAACTTCTGCGCAGCCCTGACCAACCTAAAGAAGGGGCGCTCACACAGGGGGAGGGCATGACGAATCGCAAGCTGTGCGACAGCGTCACGCGACAACCAGATAGCACGGGCAAGGTCAGCAGCGGCAGCGGACTCATGGTCAGCAGACGTGGGATCAGCGGGTAGAGCAGCAGGGAGGTCAAGGCAGGGGAGCATACCGTCAATATGGATGGCCAGGGAGTGGCCATCCTGCCGCTGACCAGTGAGGTGACGGCGGAGGTCGAGGAGCCACATCTCGAACTCAACCGGCTGACCCTTCGCGTCAAAGCGCAGCACCGAGTCTGCCATCATGGTCGCTGCAGCAGCAGAAAGGCGGTAGTGGGCTGTACTGAGCGACAGAGTGCAGTGGGAAGTAGTGGTGTGCGGTGCGGTGCGGTGCAGTGCAGTGTGGTAGACTGCGGTAGAGTGAGGTGCAATACTGTAGGGTGCGGTGCAGTGCGGTGGGAAGGGCGGATGAAGCGAGGTGGGAGCCGCAAGGGCAGCTGAGGGACGGGGCCACAAGGAGGCTGTGAGAGTACGACCTCGTTACACCACTTGGCCTTTTCCATATTTCATCTTCATTTCATTCCTCTTTTTATCTCATCTCTTGTGGCCTCATATTTCCCATTTTCCCTTATCCTTTGGTTTCTTCCTTTATTATTATTATATCACCGACCAGGCATGGAATGTTCTAGACACGCTATCTAGCGTAATCCTGCCGTAATCCCTTAAAGCCAATAGCCTCGCGTGGCTATACGCAGGGTGATTCTATTTTCTAGAAGGGTCTATTCCTTTAGATAGGATAAACCTGGTTACCTGATGTACTCTGGAAGTATAAAAGCGCCTTGTACTGATCGATAGTGCAATCGATCCTCGGGTCATTCGATCCTGTGACAGAGGCTGGGCTGCGAGGCCGCTAAGTGGCTGGTCAACAGGGGGCCGCGTGGCGGGCAGGCGACCAGGCCGTGGGGCGGCTGGAAGATGGGCCCGTGTTGCGGCTAGGAGACGGGGCCACGGGCGGCGAGGTGACGGGGCCGGCTGGGCGACGGAACCGGCTAGGTGCCAGGGCCGGCTGGGCGACGAGGCCGACTAGGCGACGGGGCCAGCTAGGCGTCAGGGCCGGCTGGGCGACAGGGCCGACTAGGCGACGGGGCCGGCCAGGCGACGGGGGCGGCTGGGCGACGGGGCCGACTGGGTGACAGCGCTGGCTAGGCGACGGGGCCGGCTAAGCGACGGGGCCGGCTAGGCGACGGGG